TTTTAATAAAAAAATTGACAATTTAATTCTAAATAAAAAATGATAAAATTTAAAAATTTAAAAAAAAAAATTTTGTCCTTTTTGAATTTCAAGATCAATAATAATAATAGGAAATTAGTGTGAATCACGGACAATATTTGGTAACAAAATTGAACTTCAATATGATGAAATATTCTTTTTTCTTATGATATAAAAAAAGATTTTTAAATTTCCAAAAAGGAAATTGAAAATTTATAAAAGAACTTTTCAAATCTTTTATATCCCTTTGGTTTCCTATTCTCATTGTGAACTCCATAAAATAAAAATTAAAAATAAAACCTAAATAATATAATTTACATGCAGAAATATGAAAAAGACATGGATTTCTGTAGATGAGAAATAAATGCCTTCCATTGAAGGATGTTCTGCTATAAAAACATGGCTTTCCTCTTCAATAAAAAGCAAAAATTTTATAATTGCAAAAAAAAGAAAAATCATTTTTAATAATTGTTATTCATTATATATGGATAGTTAAAAAAATATATATACATTTTATTTATTTATAATACCAATATTTAATGTATTTATAAATAAATGATTAAAATATATCATCAGGTCATCCCATAAGTTCTGTCCGAATTTTGAATAAAGAAAACAAGTGACCAAATGTTACATTTAATTACAGATTCAATCAACAATGTATTTTCCCTGATTATCTATGACTTCCTTCCATCTATTAACAAGCTTACTAATTCCATTACTGTAAAATTCTTTTTGGCTTTGATTCGAAGAACTCACAAATGTCAGTTTTAACCTCTTCCTGTGTTACAAAAAGCTGTTTCTTCCAAATGATTCTGTAAGCTACGAAACAAATGGTAGTCTGAAGGAGCAAGATCGGGAGAATAAGGTGGATGAGGAATTTTCTCCCAACCAAGTTCTTCGATCTTTTTGTGACGTGATTCTTGCTGTGTGGGGTCGCGCATTGTCCTGATGAAACATCACCTCTTTTCGATTCACTAGAGCAGGTCTTTTTTTCCTCAAAGCTTGGTTCAAACGCTCTAATTGCTGACAGTATATTTGAGCATTAATTGTTGCATTAGGTGGTAAGAATTCAAAGTGGATTATTCCTTGGCGATCCCACCAGATTGAAAGAAGAACCTTTTGCCCATGAAGTTCCCTTCTCGGCTGTGGCTGGGGTCCTTCCCTTTACCAAGCCACTGTCTACGACGCTTAACATTTCGATAAAAGATCCATTTTTCGTCGCCAGTCACAAGTCTATCCAAAAAAGGTGAAACAAGTTGGCGAGAATGGAGAGAAGAGCAGATGTCAACTCGGGATTTGAGGTTGTTTTCAGACAATTCATGAGGCACCCATTTTCCAAGTTTAGGAACTTTTCCAAGTTGTTGAAGATGACGATGAACAGTTGTATGGTTTGAACTGAGAACCACTGCCAATTCCTCAACTGATAAAGCAGGATTTTCTTCAAGGGCTGCTTCAAGAAGCTTTTCATCAAACTCAACTGGGCATCCGGTTCGATCTTCATCTTCAAGGGTAAAATCTCCACCTCTGAATTTTGCAAACCATCTTCTGCAAGTTCTTTCATTCATACATTCCTCTCCATAAACTGAGCGAATGTTTCTAGCTGCTTCGGCTGCTGAGTTTCCTTTCTTGAACTCATAAAGCATTATGTTCCTCAAATGATTCTTGGGTATTTTCATGTTAGCAGGGTTTTAATCAAACAAAATTTAATTTTATTGTTCTCTGAAATAAAATTTGATCAGTTTAAATGCATCTAAACATAAAAATAATGTTCAGCTCCATTAGACATTATCAAATACTCTTTAAATTTCGTTCATTTTAACAAAAGTTAAGATTCGGACAGAACTTATGGGATGACCTGATACAAATATGATTAAGAAAAATGGAATATTTTTTGCGAATAATTTTTTTATTTTTTATTCAGATTCCTTTAAAGTTGGACAATTTACTCTTAAGCCAACATTCATTGGACAATACCTCAACTTCAACTCCCACTACCCATACAGTGTAAAGAAAGGAATCATCCACTGCTTACAACATCAAGCAAAAGTCATAAGTGGCAACCCAGAGACATATGATCAAGTAATGGCCAGTATAAACATTACCCTACAACATAACTACTACCCTGGGTACATGGCAGCAGCTCTGACAAACTGGGATAGAAGGGTACAAGAGAATAACAACACTCAGAAAACAGTTTTGGTCTGTCTACCCTGTGTGAAGGGATTATCAGAGAAAATACAACAGATCTGTGGTCCATATAACATCAAGTGGACTTTCAAAAGTGCTTTGATACTTCATAAATACATCTTCCAAGTAAGACACCCCCCCATAGAAAAGAACATGACTAAGGAGTGTGTGTATGCCATCCTCTGCAGCTGTGGTAAGAAATATAAAGGAGAAACAGGCCATCCCTTTAAGGTGAGACTGCAAGAACATCATAAAGAGGGGATATAGAAAAATCAGGTGTAGCTGACCACATATGGAGATAAAAAGGAGATCACCACCCCCTGTGGGATGAGGTTGAAATAATAGAGAACATGACTGGAAAATATAAAAACTTAAAGAATCAACACATATGCTAGGCTACAAAAATCTCCTTAGCTGGCCAAGCATAGAAATGAATACAATATGGGAACCAGTAATACGATGTGCTAGAGAAAAGCAAATTTGCAATATGAGCTCTAGTAAAAATGTGTGACATTAATTTTATAAGTCTCAAAAATTCATACACTGATGTCCTCAAGGACACATGGCTCAGTGGCTAAAAGTATTGGTTGGATCCAGTGACTTGACCCAGAGTTGAGAGTTTAATACCTGGCTCCAGCAGAGTTAAAGGGAGATAACCAAAACATAGAACAATCTACCCTGGTGGATGAAATAAAGGGTTCAGTTCAAAATTCCAATCACCTGAAGGCCAGAGCATACAATGGCTGAAATGTTATGAATATGACAATAATAAAGACGAGGACAACAGTCTGAACAATGTAAATAATACCTCATCTCAGAAATGTAGACAAAAAATCTATTATTATGCTGGTGCATTATTATCATGTGTTTTTGTAGGCGACTTATTTGTTAATAAAAATTGCTATTTTGTTTACTTTTTTTTTAATAAAAATATTTTATTTTCATGTTATAAAAATGCATGTCAATAATCATACACTCTGGAATAATCATTTAAAAATGCTATTGTTAAATTGTCATGTTTTTTTTTCATAATAAATATTGTTTAAAAACGCCTGATAATTAATGCACCAACCCAATAGTATTTCACTGACAAACTCAGGTTTTCTTTGAAATGTGAAATCTTCAAAATTTAAAGATTGTTATATCTAGCAATAGAAACAAAAAAAAAATGTCTTTTTTTATCAGGTCAAAGTATTTAGTAATGAACACAATTCTGAAGAACTGTATTAGTACATTAATACATTTTTAAAGCAACTTTTGCATTTACCCTTTCATTCATTGTGGTAATGAACCAATTAACCTACAATAATCCTCCATTGTTACTAATGCTCACACTTCAGTAATAACTTGCTTCAATTCTTCAAGATGTGAAGGATAGTATTTTTTTTTCTCTCCTCTTGATGATTCCCCATAAATTTTCTATTGGATTTGCATCTGGGCTATTTGCAAGCCAAAAAAAAATTTCTCGTATTCTTATTTTTGTGTTATTTGACGTTCATTGGTTAAGCAGACATCACATGCATTTTACTTATCAAACAGCACTTATTTGTATAATTGTGAAAATGGAAGAAAATGAGATGACTTTTTGTCATCTGATGCTCTTTTATCTCTGGAAAGGAAAAAATGCTGTATAAACAGCAAAAAAATATGTGCCATTTATGGAGATGATCCCATAGCTAAGAGTATTTTTGTAAATGGTTTGCTAGATCCAGAATTAGGTTTTTTGATCTGGAAAACTGAATATTCTGGCAGGCCTGCAGTTGTTGATGATTACCAAATCAAAATACTGATTAAAAATAATCCAGATAACATGATACAGAACATCACAGAAATACTTCATATATCTCACATGAGCACTATAAGGCATTTGAAAACACTTGGACACATGAATTGTTTGGTCTTTGGCTGCCTCACAACTTAAGCAAGTAACTTTTAATGGATCAAATTTCCATCTGCAATTCTCTGCTCAGATGCAACAGAAATTATTCATTTTTGAAAAGAACAATTACAGGCAATTCATATGGAAAGACGTGAAATAAAAAGAATGATACCAATTTCTAGGAGGATGGAATCATGAAGCTGCCTCAAAGATGGTGAAAGGTAGAACTAAAAGGCACATATATAGTTGAATAAATCAATATTTATCAACATCTAAATGTTTTTGAAATTCATTTAAAAAATGTTACAAACTTTTGTTCAACCCAATACTAGAACTAGTGTTCATATCTTCTTTAATACAATTGCAACATTTTGACGGTTTTACTCTATGACCTTCTTCCATGTTCAGGTGTTTGTCATAATTAATAACCTTCTGGTAATTTCAAACTGAACCTTATATTCAATGGGATAAATTGTTCTCATTACAGTTTCTATCACCTAATTACACTTCAGGTAAAGTTATATACTATGTTTTTGATGGAGAGGCAGAGAAGCAACATTAGGTTTCAAGTTTTTCCTACCACAGACTCTTATGAGATATATGAACTTGTGAGGAAACGCATTATTTAGGAAGATATAGTTATCTGGTAATCAAAAGTTCAATTCTTGGGTTGGTTAATATAAATAAATAAATAAATAAATAAATAAATGCTCACATACTTTGGAAATGCCATGGCTCTTAATGATGTAAGCAATCAGAGATTTCCACAGCTTTCTTTTATCTTTAATATCTGTTACCATGCATTGTGCTGTTTGGAGGAAAGATGATAGTTTACCATTGTCTTCTCTATGATTTTTGAATTTAGAGTTGTTGTTCTCCTAGATTGCCAACAAAAGTTAGACAACCCAGTCTGTTATGCTATTTTACCTATAACAATATCACAAAGAATAATTAAGCAGAAAGAATGAACTGATACAATATATACATCACACATGGACAACAGCTTGGGGAAAATCTACTCACAGAAAACATTACAAACTACAAAAGGTACCTTAAGAAAGCCACAGAGTACAATGGCTGAATCTTTGTGACAGTAACTACCAAGATGTGGGCACTAATTCTATTATATCAGTTTATAAAAATGAATGTATTGTTATCTGTTTCCATATAAGGTATGTGAATATTTCTTATTAATTGTTAAAATATCTCTATGTCGCACACACACAAAAATACATCCTTTATACTTAATATTTTCTTAAGCATTTCACTCCAAGCAAGGCGGGAAGCTACTGGCATGCAAGAGGTTACAGAGGATTTGGAGCGAGAGCAGATAGGAGTGATAGAGGAAAGGATGAAGAGAAGGATAGTGGATAGATCAAGGCAACTGGGGATGTCAATTGACATTACATTTGAATAGTTGGAGATTATAGCTATCAGGGAAACAGGAATAGGGAAGGGAGTTCCACAGGCAAGAGGTGCAAGATATGAAGCTATTGGAGTAGAAGAGATGGCTACATTTAACAGTTTCAACAGTGAATTGGTGAGAAATGGGATGCCAGCCTCAAGGACACTTTTTATTCATGAAGTCTGGGAACCTGCAAAGCAGCTCATCGGAACAATTACCATGAAAGTATTTGTAAAAAAGACAGAGAGAGGCAACGGCACATCTGTGAGAGAGCAACTGCAGACAAGATACCAGATCAGGGCCAATTACATTGTATATCCGTCTCTGGATCTTTTCAAGAACCCTGAGGAAAACAGAAGGGGCTCCAAACCATATATGGCAGCAATACTCCATGCAAGGGCGAATGGTTGATTGAATTATTGGCTTGTATGAAATTTCATCAGGTTTCAAAAGATATCTGCACATACCTTTTTTTTTCCATTATTATTTGACTTTGTCCTTTGCAAGGCAGTAAAAGCCACTAAGATACAAGGGTCTACTGAGTGTGGAAGAGTTAGAAACAGAAACATCGATAAGGAGTAAGAACAAAAGAACAGTAATCGAGATTACAGTAGATAGCAATTGGCATTGAATTTAAATTTTTCAAGATCAAATTTGGCTAGAAAGCATGAAGCTGGAAGGGACATCCACAAACGAGAAATGCAAGAAAAGAAACTGTTAACATAGAATTTATGGTTACATCTAGCCAACTCAACTGTAATCTGATGAGACCTCATTGGCAGTTAAGTACTGCACTTAAATTCAAAATGTCTAGGCACCATAGTGAAAAGCTCATTAGAACAATTACCATGGAAGTATTCATAGAAAAGGCACAGAGAGGTAACCTTATGGGGATGGGAAAGTGACTTAAGCAGTGACACCAGATCTGGGCCAGTAATATTGCTGATTTTTCTTTGGATTTTATGAAGGAGCTCTAGATAAATAACAGAGCACTGAACCATATGTGGCAGCAATATTTTAAACATGGATGAATGGTAGACATAGATATGTAAGAGATTTTCTTAGCAGCTGACTTAGCAATGGATTCAATATAGTCTTTCCACTTCATGTCAGCTGAGAACATTAGCCAGAGAAAGCACAATAAGCCACTCAGCATCAGCCATGCTGGTGGAAGGCAGAGAGGGGTAATTAATAGAGAGCAGTTTAATTTTGTAGGTGTTAAAATTAATAAGCCATCGTTTGCCACAATTAACAACAGACTGAAGTTCGTCTTTGATATCAGCTGACATTTTGACCATACTGAGACAGGAGTAAATGATTCTGTAACCAGCATAGATACCAAGTTGTGAGCTGATGACATCAGGAAGGTCATTAATGAAAATTAAAAACAAAGTAGGACCAAGTATGGAGTTATGGGACACCTGCATTAGTATAACAGGATCTGAAAGAGTGGCCATTCAAGAATTACTTTCATTTCAAGATTTGAGGAGAAAGACTGGATCAGTTCAAAAATTTGTCTGGAAACACCATAATTTTTCAGCTTGCAGAGAAGACTGGTATGCCAAAACCTATTCAAAGCTACAGACCAGGCTTCACCATTCTTATGTAAAGTTTGATAGACACTTTCCAAAATTATCATCAGTATATCATCAGTTGACCTGAAGAAACAAAAGCTATATCACTTGTCTGAGAAAAGGCACTGCAATGTGAGATGCTTAACCAATTTAGTATTGAGTTGGGCCTCAGGAGTTTCCTAAAAAGAGGTAGAAGGCAAATAGGCTGATAGTTGAAAGTGTTGGATAGTTCACCAGAGTTCTTAAACACTGGAAGAACATACAAGGACTTCCAGCAGGCAATAGGCACTTATTATACAGTTTATAGAGAACAGGAGTCAGTTCAGGAGTGCACTTCTTAATGACTATTACGGGGATATCATCAGATCCATATGCTTCGTGGGGATCTAGGTTAGAGATGATAGCAGAAACCATAGAAGAGGTTATATGCATATCACTTAACAGAGACTCACTTCTAAATGGGAAGTTAGGCAGGGATACTCTAGATCAGTCAAGAGTAGGGTTTAAGGAAAATTTACAAGTGAAACATTCAGTTTTATCAGCAGAAGATGTTAACACCTCAGAAGAGAGGTACAATAGAGAATTTACACTTAATTAATACACTATCACAGAGCAGCCAGTAATCACAAGAGCCAAAGTTGTTAGATGGAATACAGTGTCTCATTCTATCAGCAAACAGAGACTTAGTTCCTTTGAGGACTCATTTACATTTATTACAAGCAACAACAAATAAGTGCCTGTAGTGATGGGAGCTGTCACACTCATATAGCTGAAAATAGTGGTTCCTATGGGCTGTAGCAGAGCATGCTGGTGTGAACCATGGAGTATATTGAGGTTTCATCTGATATTTCCAAGAAGGAATGAAAACATCCATACAGGCTTTGACCCAAGAGGAAACCTCAGTAGCACAATTCTCAATTTGAAGATTAAAAATGTCAGTCCAGTGGGTGTCTCAAAGAAAATCACAGAGTGAGTGCCAATCAGCATGCTGGTAACAGAAAGATATCTTATGAATAGGAGGTTTCTGTTTAACAGATGATTTGAACAAAATATCAATAAATACTACTGAGTGATTCAAGTTTCCAAGAGAGCAGTGTTGCAAAGTTTGGCAAGAGCAGTGAGAGTAGGTAAGAAATAAACCAAGAAGAGCAGCCTGTTGCTCGGTTTTGCTAGGGAAATATGTAGGGAAATCCATGATTTGAGTAAGGGATTGAGCAATGGAAAAATTCAATGTCTGAATACTGGTAACATCAGTAACATTAGATGTTTAAGCCACATGACATGATGTGCATTAAAATCACCGAAGACAAAGATGTTCACAGAGAGAGTGCCATTTCTATACAGATAGTTGTAATCATTAAAAATATCTTTCAGCCTAGAAACTGATGTATTAAATATATTCAACTATCAAAATATACAGGTTAAATTTGCATGATACTACAAACAGCTTTATGTATATTGTTTCTACAAGTGATATCAACATAATCAGAACATGTCTTAAATTTATAATATTTCCAACACCAGTTCCTGTGATGAAAAAAATGCATCAAGGTTGCCTTGTCGGAAATGATCAATAAAAGTGCTAAAACATGTACAGAAAATTCTTATACACATTGCAACCAAACATCCATTATCTTACAGGAAAACAAGAGAAAATTTGAAAAAAAAAAAAAATAATTTAAAACTTTGTCTGTAGTCTTCAATAAAACCTACTTAAACAATAAATTTCTCCCAACATATAAATTACATACTTGTAAATAGATATGATTATTAAGGGACATTTTCCAACTTGAGTTTCTAAGCAAGAGATAAATTAAGTCTCTTTAATTTTTGTCAGTATTATGTAAAAATACTCAATCCTTATTTTTCCTGATATTAAATTTTACTAAGGTGTATTAGGCAGATTTTTGTCTAAATTTTTAAAATAAGGAATTATCACTATGAGCTGGAAACCTACCACTGCAGTATGATATTAAAATAGCTCCTGCAAAAGATATAAATAAAACTTACAACTCCAATAAGAGATCATGTATTTATTGATTCATACTTTATTCAAAATCATCACCATCATGAACTATTGAATCAAATTTAATTTAAATATCAAAGAGAATTTTACAAAAGAATTCAAGTACCCATGTTTGTGGACAATCATGTTATATTAAGGAGAAGACTTCTACATAAATAACATTTCTTTTGTAAATCCTTTTCTTTCGCTTCACATGAAAATTTATTGCATTAAATGACCATACATTTATTGTCTCGACTTTATGTGGCAACAGTAAGTACGGATAAAAGTAAACTAAGTTTTGCAAGGCCTTATAGGCTAACAAATGCCAACAAGGGGTTATGGCCCTCTGGTGGTCACTGATATATTACAAATAGGAACAAAACACCACATTTTTCAAAGTCTTAAGTTTCCAACAATTTGAAAAAAATTAATGGAAAAAAAGTCCTAACTTTGGATTCTTGGTAGAAAATTTTCATCTAATTTATATGAGGTGGTGCCCAAAAACTCTTGGCCCAACTAAGAAGCCCTTCAAAAAACAAATCTATATGGTCAGATTTTGGGAATTGGGTCAGGCCAAGAACTTTCAGCACCCTCTCATAAGCAAAAAGATTGAGATTTGGTTTAGTTAACCTTTCAGACACAAAGTAAGTGTCCAGTTTGGCATTATACTTTACACTTTAAGTTTTGGAATTTTCAAAAAATTACATGATAAAAACATGTTCCAGTGTCCCTTGAGTATCTACAGAAAATTTGATGGCCATAGTTCTAATGCAATAACAGATGAATAAATTAAGATATTTAGTGAATTATAGTAAGACTAGATACCAATTTACTCAGATGAGTGTTCTGAAGACAGTGAGTACAACATCTGAAATATTATGACTATAACAACCAAGATAAGGACACTAATTCAAGCATATATTTTCAAGTTTAATAATGTAAAATTAAAGAAATAGAGAAAACAAGAAATTTTATTAATATTTTACCTTTAAATTTAATATTAAAAGGAATACCAAAAGGGTGCATGCCAACAATATGGCCTGTTACTGGATCAGGTTCATAAAGTGATGCTTTGTACAATAAGAACTATGAAAAAAAAAAGAAAAAAAAATTATAACATCCAATAAGTGATCCAAAGGACAAATCTATGCAGTTATTTTGTGACAAAAACATGTACTGTCAGTACCTTTGCCATATAATAATAATAATAACTAATAACTTCAAATAATATTAAGCAAAAGAAAATGAACCTTTATTTTTTCATTTTAGACTTCCATAGTTTAAAATTACAAAATCAAGCTTAAGTAGATTAATTTCCACAAAACATTCAAAGAAAACAGATTTCAAATAATTAGCTTGATAAGCCACAAACAAATAATTAGGAATCTAATGAATAGAGATATTAGCAGAATTAGACTAAAAACAGTCCCTTTGTTCAAAACACTGAAACAAGAAATCTAGTAATTGAAATAAAAACAGAAAACTATATATATTTCATAGATATCACAAAGGCATTCAATAAAAAACAACATGAAGAACTTAGAATGTTCAAAAAGTTTGATCTAGGAATAACATGTACTCTGTACTGGCTTGTGTGTGAATAAAAAAAATGATTACACAAAATAGAAAGTGGTGTGTGACATGAATATATTTTCTCATCAGATTTATTTAACTTGGATAGCAAGATGATTCCAAGAGAATTATAAGATTTATTATTGACAAACAACCTTAAGAACATATGCTATGGAGATGATACTGTGCTGATTATAGATTCAGAAGGAAAACTAAAAGACCTATTAGTCAGTGAAAACCAGAAGAAAAGACTGAATATTAACTGTAAAAATATAAAATACATTTTTTTAAATTATGTCACCACAAGCAAAGCAATAAAGCCCCTAAGACACAAGAGATTACTGAGATTGAAGGAAATTGAGAAAACATTACTGAAGAGAAAAGACATTAAAAAGAACTGGATTCAAAGAAACAAAAGATGAAGACTGACATTGCATTTAAATTTTTGAAGATCATAGTTGACAGGAAAGCAACAAGCTGCAAGGGTGTTCCACAGGTGAGAAGTGCAAGAGAAGAAGCTATTAGAATAGAAATTACAGTGATACAACAATTTCAACAGTAAAGTGATGAGACCTAACTGCCAATTTAGTATCAAGCCTAAATTCATGAAATCAAAGTACCAAAGATGGAATCTCATCAGAACAATTGTCATGAAAAATATACATGGTTTTTGAGTAAATGGAACAATCCTAAGTGTGAGTTATGGATCAGGGTACATCAAAATCAAGCAGATGTAGAAATCCTATTTTTTGGAAAGTGTAAAAACAGTTTGAAGGCACATAAGAATAGCAAAAGATGCCATACTCTGAAAAGTATTAAGGGATCAAAAAATAACATTAAAAATTAAAAAAAATGACAGTGAATACTGGACAATTTCATCACAAATGAAGAAAAAACTTCAGACGAATGAAAACTTCAGACTGATGTTAAGAATGCCATGGATACAGACCCCCCCCAAATACAGCTATTAATTAGAGACAGATGAAATTTTAGGGACACGATAACAAAAGAAGATTTGAAGAATTTAACACTCACAAAAGATATATTATAAAAAAGTAGATGAAAGCAGTTACTTGAAAAGTTTGAGCAAATAGATAAACAATTACCACAAAAACAAAGTTGGGTCATAAAAAGAACAAGTATTGCTCAGAACAACTAAAGACAAAAAGTTGTAGAGAAATCATGATTGCCTATGTCCTGATGAGACATGGCACAAAGAGAGACTCAAAAAACAAGTCTTGACAGTTATTTTATGACAAAAGTATGGGTTAAGATACAGTTAATTCTTTTAATTAAGAAGTATATCATTTTTTAAGAGGATGTATTTTTTTATAGTTTGTTTAGCTCTTCATGAAATGAACTTCCATTTCTGTGTGAAATTTTTTTTCAAGAAAATTTAAGAAATAAAACAGAAGATACTAAAGTTATTCTAGAACTAGATTCTGACACTTTATCATACATTATGATATTGAATATTCAGAATGTAAATATATTGCTAAACTAAATCCAGAGTTTGTGTCCTCTTTATGCAAATATGTGGAATTTTAAAGTATAAACCCCCAAAAGGATTGAATTTATATGCACATTGTAAATAAAATCTAACTTTTGAACCACTATGCTCACTCCAAATTTAAAGCTTTATTTTTCAGACACAAAATCATGGTCCAGTTAGCATTATGCATATATTATAAATAAATACATAACTTTAGAGGCAGTTCATATTCATTCAACATGCACAAAAATACATAAAATACATTTTCCTACAAAAATACTAAATTTAACTTACAGACTCTCTGCCATCATATAGACAGTTGTTAACTACAAAATTGATTCAAAAGTCGACTCACAAAGCGAGCATGACCATCACTGACATGTCCAATCCATCAGTTAAACTCTATGCCCTCCCCCCACAACACTCCATTCATTTGTTGCGTAAACAACAGTGGCTCATAAAGCCAGTCATCACTCTGCATTTCTTGTTACATATATGGCATGTCAAATCATCTACAGGTGGTGGAAGTTGAATTTGAACATCATCACTTCATACTTCAGGGTGGCAATAAAAGTCACTATACGATTACTTACAATAACAATTAAGACAAAGCAATTAATCAACAGTCCAGAAATTTATTATTAAAATGGTTCTGGTTAATTCTGGTTAATAACAATAAAATGCTATGATAAACTAAATTAATTACTGATACTGTTCAGCCACCTTCTTCAATGCTTTGCTTTTTTATTATAAGTAACTGTATAGTGACTTTATTGCCACTTTGTATATTATTGAAATTGATCAACAAGATATGTCTGAGATTTACAACATTTCTAGTTTGCATATTAGCTGTCACACATCCAAATAAAATTTATAAAGAAACTGTTCAAAGATTTATGCTTTGTTCAAGTATTTCCAACTATTACTCAGCCTTATCAATAACACTAAATGCTATAACTATTTTAAATGTACACGTATCAAAATGTCATGTGTAAAACATTCTGTAATGATATGTAAAAGATATACATTTCTTCCTCTTTTTTCTATTTACTGTGTTTCTTCAGGACGTGGGTGATCATGGCTCTCCATATATTCCTATCTCTTGTGGCCTTTAGCAGATTTTCTCCTTTTGCCAAGCCTCTGACTCCCATTCTTCCACCCATTCACACAAATTTGGCAGGTAGGTGACTTGCTGCCTTCCCTTATCTCTGTTATCCTTAATATTCACTGTAATTGTTAAGTTTTCCAAGCCCTCCATCATCTTTATATGTCTAAGAAATTTCAGCTGTCTTTTTCTGATTCTGAGTATAAGTTCTTTTGCTACCATTTTCTTTAAGACTTCCTTGTTACTTACAATCTTCATCCATAGAATTCTTAGTATCCTTTTGTAGAACCACATTTATGTTGATTCCAGTTTTCTCTTCATTAGTGGGGAGAGTGTTTAGCATTCACTGCCATACAAGAGGATTGACATCAACATAGTAATTCAGGACTCTTTGTTTCAAACAAAATTTTCCTATTTCTTAGCACTTTCTTTAGCTTTTAAAACAGGTCTTTTGCTAATCCAATACATGTTCAGATTTCAGTGTCACATTTTCCATCTTCTGTTAAAACACTTTCTAGATATTTAAACTTTTGTATTTGTTTGATATTGACATTTGCAATTTGCATCTTGGGTTTTTTCTCTTGCTGACAATCATACTGGCTTCTTACAGTTGATGGCTCTTCTTTTTTTCTCACTTTCCTTTACTACCTTGTTCAGAAAGTCTGGTAGTTTTCTTTCTGTGTCTACCGTCAACACAGTGAAATCTATGTATCTTATATTGTTAAGATTATGTGCACTGATAATAAATCCTGAAAGGGTCTCCAGTTACTTTAGGATAGCCTCACTTTAGTGGCTGAACAAACCTGGGGAGAAGACACATCTACCTACTAAAATTTATTTTATACCTGTATGCAGGCGGTTTGCTTCCAGTTGAAGTTCTGGATTATTCTAACTGAATGTTAAAGACATTACAGACAAAAATATCCAAATATATATGTTAATATTTTACTTATATTTTATTTGTATATATTTTATTATTTTCTACATACTTTTATTTAAATTTTTTTAAATTTTTGAGCACCCTCTAGCCATTAATATGTACAGTGTTTGTGTTTAGTAGCCTTATCAAAATTTATGAAAAAAAAAAAAAAAAAAAAAAACAAATGACTGCCCCTTTCCACAACCTAGAGTAAAGGTTTCTCAACACGGAGGTATGTTTGGATAGGACTTTCTTGATAACAAACCTGATTGCGCAGTTATAGAATTGCTATGTGATGTCACTTTGCAGAACCTTTACCATTTAATTTGTAGCAGTAAAAGACCTTGTTAGCAGTCTTGTCGAGTCTATGCCTGACCAGGTAGGAACTGTTTTAGGAGCATGTGAGTTCAAGCACCTGAGGTGGGAGTAAATACCTTATTAGGTTAACCTTTGATCTATGACAGATACACAAATAAGTAAAACATTCTGAGTATGGAAATAGTATGTATAATAAATATACTCACATGTTCTAAAATGTAATCAACACTGAAAAGCTCCACAATTCCTCCACGTTTGTTAGTTACCAGAAGATTATCAGAAACTAGAGCATCATGGAGGTCATTTCCAAAAATCTGTAGGAAATAACATTAAATCATGTTATTATTCAAATTTAATGAAAAAAAATAATGTACACTTTCTTTTTATTTCTATTAGATAGAGCATTGTTAATTATTATTATTAATTCTAACTAGTATTTAATTTCATGTTGTGCTTAGTTGCTTTTCTTTATATTAAGATAAAAGTAAACATTAGACAAAAGTAATAATTAACTAGGCTTCTTTTGGTATCTTCAACTATTACTGGTCATTTTCAAAAACATCATTGACAAACAAATCATTATTTTAATTAATAACATTCAAATCATCAAATGCCATGATTGAAAAAAAATAAAATACATAAGTTTTCTTGAAAGCAAAATCATAAAAACCTCATGTCCTTGAAAATTATTAATGATATTTGAAAGCACAAAGAAACAAATACAATTTTTACACACACTAAAAACAAACCTCTGTTATTTTGTACGAAAACAAGAGAAAATTACAAAAAGAATTGTTAAAACAAACCTTAGTTTTGGTCTTCAATAAAACCTATTTTTTCTTTTCTTTATTAATGTTCAAAATATAAGGCTCAAGGGCCAATTAAGGTAGAGAATTACTGAATGAGGAGTGCGATATGAATGCAAGAGTTCTTACTCTTGCATTCATATCACACTCCTCATTCCTCAGTAAGGATATGGAATATAGGTAATGATTAACTCTTAACATGAAGCGGTTAAGATTGTAGCATTTGGAGAAGCATTCATGTGGCAATCTATTCCACAAATCAGCAGTTCTTGGGAAAAGCTGCTGGAGTGAAACATCCTCCTTACAATTGGAATACAAAGGGAATGAGAGTAGTTCAACTCCAGGGACATAGCATAGCAGGTATCAGCTGTAAAATCTTTGCTGACTGAACTAAAAAATGGAGTTTGTCCAAACATTTGCCATGAAAATAGCAACTTGATAGTGATAGGCTTGCAATTTTACATCTTTGTAAAGAAGCTGTAGGGAGGAAAACATGTCATCTCTCACAAAGCAACATAAACAACTCTGAACTCTATCAAGGCTGGAAAGTAAGTTAACTGAAAAATTTCTGAATATATATAAAAAAAAAAAAAAAAAAGATTGTGTTTCACAACCCCCACCAACCATAAAACAATGGTTGACCAGTGTAAGTTCTGAAGGATAAAATTTTCAAGGCAAGCAGCCTTTGTAATTAAAGTTCTCAATATCAAGAGTTAGAGCATTAATAATAACAACAAATAAAATTAAATGCTGAACTTATCTTTCCCAAAATGAAGTTTCACAGATATGGTATGCATTTGTTACAGGTTAGGATAATAAAATTGAATTTATTTATAGAAATCATATAAATCAATTTTACAATCAAACCACCAATTTAATTAATTGGCTGTCCAGTTAAAATCTATTAAAAAATTTCATGAAAATTTTACATTTAATTAAGAAAAACAATAATCAAGGGATTATTTAAAAAAATATTCCGTTACAATAACTCATGGTGCAAACACTTAAAGCAATGGCTGTCTTGCTAAAAAGCCAATAAAAATTTAAAGAAAACATTAAATTTAAATTTTGTTGTTTGAAATTAATTTAATGGTGTAAATATTTTTTTTTAAAAGAAATATTATACAGATGCAAACATACATATATACCTACCTCCTTTTCTATAGCAAACATCCCTACAAATTCAAGTGGAAACACATTAAAAAGTGCAATTGCTTTCATCATGGATCCTGGACAGTTCTATAAATGATAAAAAAAATCTGTATTTTAATACAAACAAAATTATTAAATAAATTGTTGAGATCAATTTAATTTTTTTTAATAGCATATAGCATTCCCTTTGAAAAGTTAAATTTCTCAAAAAAAAAAAAAAAAAAAAAAAATCCAAAGAAATGAGAGCCATTTTCAGTCAAAGCTGATCAAACTTCATTGAAAAAATTTATTTTTCGATTAAAATAAAACTTTTTAATTTTTTATATTGAAAAATATAATTGAAATTCATTAACAGGTTCAATGCCAAATGATTTTAAAATTTTCACTTTATATGTGAAATGCACAAAATAAAAAAATTACAATGACGGTGTTAATATATGCATCCATATATAATTTTAATATTTTGCTTAATAAGTTCTGACATTATAGTTTGCAACCTGACATGACACAAAGTTTTACATTAATATCTTCTCAACAAAGAGCAGAGGTACATCAATTAAATCATAGACATTACAAAATACCCTGACTTCCTCATTAAATACAAATTATAGATATGTTCTATCAGAGGTAATGGTTCCTTGAGCTCAATTCATTAATAACACACTTTATGGCCAATAATGAAACTAGAGATGCAAAGCATTGTATGAACCAAATTAGTTGGTATCTTTTTGCCTCCAATAAGACTGAAGTAAGGGGCAGTAATGGGAGAGATTTGGGGTGTTGGGAAGCATGAAAGTGATCAGCTGGAACATACCTTGAAGTATTTAGGATTCTCTGGGTGTGGATTTTCCACTTGCCACTGTCAGGTAATTTTACCAATAATCAGAATATATAATTAATATGAAATGAGGTTTGCAGGAGGAAATGCCATTGCTTTGCTTATTGGAGCTGAAAGGATTGTAGAAGCAAAAGTGTATAGATTTTCAATGCTAGTAAAAATACAAATAAGGGTTACAGAAGTAAAATGTCTATTATTTTGCTTGTTTGTATATATGACCATTACACTAAGCTGCAAGTAGAGAATTGTGGTAGTTAGCATTAATCACACAGATTAAAAATAAATTCCAATCATATAAAAAAAAAATGCTTTGAGTTAACTGACACTTAATGCAACAACTTCCAGTAAATTTGCTCACTCACTGTAACACGAGAGAAAATGGCTTACTTCCTGGCCAAAAATGAGTTAGGATATGTCTCACATGTAAAGTATCCCCACCACCAAAAAATGGTAGCTTTACAAGTCATATTTAAGAAAAGATAGAACTCAGAGTCAGATACTTTCGGAAGACTTTTTTTTTTTTTCCACCTATGCAAATTTGACCTGTCACTCAATCTATAAAAAGTATTTAACAAGGTAACACAGCAGTGCAACTATGGTAGTGAACAGGAGAAAGATGTTGTTGGACTTACGCTATGCTGTTTGATGAAAGAAACCAATTAGATAATTTTATTACTAGCAAGAAGAAACTGACTACAAGCTATTTCAGCACTTAACACTGATGGACCAATTCAACTAAGTTGATACCAGAGTTTGATGGTTCTTCCACTGGCCTATCTATTGTTGAGTGGGCGGAGAAGGCAGAGCTCATTTGCTGACTATGCAAATTGAAAGACCCAGCAACAGTCATTCCTTTGAGGTTGTTAGGGGGTGCCTATGCTGCATACCAGCAGCTTAAAGAGGAAGAAAAAGACTTTACTGAGATAAAACGGGCTCTTTATATAGCCTTTGGAATGGAATCACTTATGGCATATCAACAATTTATTGGGCACTAACTACTCCTCGGTGTAACAGTTGAGGTCTAACTGGTCAATTTACGGAAATTTTCTGTACAGTTTGGGGGTATGAATGACTAGATGCTGCGGTGCAACTTTGTAGCAGGATTGCCAGATGATGTCAGTTGGCTTTTACAAGCAACATCCAGAATGGATGAACTATCAACCGAACAGCTATGATGGACCAGAGTCAAGCTATTTGCAAGGAAGCAGAACCAGTGGTAGCAGCAGCAAGAATGCAGAGCAGTATTCGAACCAAAGAGACATACACCAAGTGATACTTCTGCCATTGGCAATTTCGATATGTTACAAATGTGGTGGTCCAAACCACTTTGCAAGGGAGTGCCAGTGTCAAAGTGGTGTGGGGAGTGCAGAGACAGCTGAGGTGCTATCATTGTAATAAGCTGGGTCATGTGGCATGGAATTGTTTGGGAAATGGATCTGGGGATAAGGTATAATTGCCAACCTTGATCACTGCAAGACAGTAAATGTACCAATATCTGTAGCAATCAGAGGTGTGCCCCATCATGCTGTGATGCTGGAGTTATTACAATACACACAGAGCAAGGTAACTGTGCTGAAGTTGGCGTTCTGGTCATGCAAGAAAAACCTCTTGGCCATAATCTGCTAGTAGGGATCAATGCCATACAAGTATTAGGAGGCTTCTATGCTACTTTTGAACTGGACTACAAGATGGAAGTGGGCCATGAACAAAGTACCAGAGTAGTTACAGAATGCAGTTTTAGAATACACAGTATCTAACAAGATCAGGGCTGCATATGAAGAAGAGTTGCAAACATGGATTGCTAATGGCTCGCTGATACCCTACTCCCAAAAACGACTAGCTCAACAAAGACAAGGTGCATCGAGTCTTGAATTACTGAGGATTGAACCAACACATGGATCCCTTCACTGCAGATGCAGATGTATGTGCTGCCAAATTACGGGAGTGGCACCAGCAAAGCATGAATGTGGTCTTGCTTGATCTATGGAGGGCCTATCTCCAAATCAGCGTTCACGAGTCACTGTGGTCATTTCAAACAGTAATAATCAAAGGAACAAGGTACTGTTTGACATGTATAGGATTCAGTCAAGGAATTGACAATGAGAGCTACCTCATCATGTATTGATGATCCATATGTAAATGAAAGCATAGTGTCTGTAGATGAGATTAAGGAGAAACTAGAATCCTTCAAGTTGGTCAGTAAGGACTCCACTCACCTGAAAGATGAGACTCTAGTATTGGGCCTTGAAGTCTTGGAGGAGCATGACACTACAGTGAAAGCAAGAGTGCGCGGTTCCAGAACGCCCTGTTCTAATTACATGCCTAATGTCTTTTCCATCTGTGGAGGGTTGGTAGGACACTTTCCTGTCTGTAGGTGGCTTTGTGCAGCAAATGGAGTAATGAAGAAGTGAGTTACTGTGGTAAGAAAGGGATGGGGGTGACACAGTAAATAACATCCCTCTCAAGCAGATGATAGCTAAAGTAATCACCAAACTGCACCAAGATGATCCCACCCAAGGTGACTGGTGTGTTAAAAAAATACAGACTAATCTACATGTTATTGCAAATAGATTCACATATATTGTAAGCAGTTTGCAAACATTATCAATACAGATAAAACATGAATTAAATTTACAAGTCTAAACATCAAATGCCATAATGGAAAAAAAGCAAATACATCAAAGTTTCCTGAATTCAAAACCAAAACATCCCGATTCATGTTCTTCAAAGATTTAATGATGGTTGAAGTGCTAGTATATGCAAGTAAAAAATTTTTTTTTTTACATATACAGAAACCAAATATCTGCTATATCATGTATGAAAAGAGAAAATTACCAAACAAAAAAAAAAACTACACATATTGTTTATATTTACATATACTCTATCCCTGATACTGGGTACACATCATAATTATAACCAATTTTAAACAATTACATAAATACACATACCTGTTTTTGTGTTGGTACCATTTGTCAAACAAACAGGAATAAAAGAATTATGCCATTGTTAAAAAAAAAAAAAAAACAGAAAAAAAGGTAAATGTTTGAAAAAATAGAATGATCTGATATTGATAAATTTTTTTAAATTTTCAACCATCTTGTGCACAATCTGTGTTTGATCTTTAGATGGCCAAGCCTAAAGGAAGCAGCTGTTGAATTAGATATACATCTGCTCCTTTTGTTCAATTAGAGCCATTTGACAGGATCAGGTTTTAGATCTTCAAAAGGTTTGAGGGCCATTTCAGAAAATGTTTATACATGGTGTATGTGACATATCAGTTGTGCTTTGATGTTTGCAACAGTGTTAAAATGAAATTCCAGCAAACATAAACCAAGTTCAAGTTAGCCACATGGTACAAACAGTCACTAAGACTGAGGCACTTTATGAACAATAGTGGCAGACTGCCTAACATCCAATGCACAGATAAGAGCAAATATGACCCAAGGAATATCAACATAGACTATTAGATATCATTTAATAACAATAAGACTATAGGCACACAGAATCCCTAACCAAACTCATACTTACATCGCAAGACCATCAAGTGGTGTTGCAAGGGATTGAATGGTGCACTGTAATGTTCAGTAAAGAGACTAGGTTATGTCTTCATGCACATAGATATGTAGATATAGTAAGCCAATGAAAGAAATTCAAGAGATAAAAAAATAACAAAAATAATAATATTGATAATATATATATATAAATATAATATTTATTGTATATTAATAGGCCTTTTGACTAAATAGATGCATGATGAGAAAAGATGTTAAAAATCAGAACTATGCCCTTTTCTCAACAAAAAATAAAAAATGATGTTGGAATTCTTTTTTCTCATGTGTTATACTACTGAAAAAATCTAGTGGGTTTTGGGCAGCTAATTGTTTGCCACAATGAGTGCTTGTAGATGACATTTTGTGGAAACTGTATTCATTGAGTACACCTAAATTCCAATTTAAACCAAGAATGTGTGAATTTATTTTAATTCAAACTTTTGGCATTCTTGTTGGCATTTAAATGAAGATGCTGAAAGGTCGCATTTAGCATTATTAATACTATGGTCCATTTTGGTTGAAATGTGCAATTACAGTGAAATTGATGTTGTTGTCTTCAATGGTTTTCTTATGGTTATTAATCTAAAGATGAAATTCTATACTTGTCCCAACGATGTAATTTGCTGTTTTGCATTTGTTACAAAAAGTAAATATATTACATTTGAACTGTCACAAGTTAAGAGAGTCTGTGTGCATGCCAGGTAGCATGAAAATATTATCAGTGATAAAATACCTTGCCTTGGTAAGTGGGTGATTCTTATAGTCTAGATAATGTAAAGACTGAATGTAGATCTGGAGATTGTAACCTGGCGTTAAGTGGGGTTTCATTAAATATTTTATTGTGTTTTATGCACTGGAAATCTTTTAATACAATATGAGATTTGTGAATGTTGTAATTAAAACTGAAAACCATATGTAATGAAAACTTGGAGTCTAGTTCGGCTTAATGTGCCTTTATTGAACGTAACTGAAGACGGCGTGACTTATATATACAAATCATAAGACAGGGGCGGTAATCAGGCTGTCTTACCACATTCTCCTCAGCTTCATTTTCTCCTAGTCCAAAATCACCCAGAAGACTGAATCTCCTGACAACTCTCTGGGATCGTCTCGGTGGCAGCTGATTTGGGCCTTCAGGTGTTATGGGAACAGTTAACCAGAAGTATTTCCTTTCATACTGTTTTTGTCTCCTTGGAATGGGATACTTTGATTCTAAAAGCTGATTATCAGTCTGTGATAGTATGCTCTCGTTTTGAGAGAGCTATTCTGGTGTTGATCTCTAAATTGTTACTATACAAGCCTTGTTCCTCAGGAGAATCCAATCGCATTGTGTTGTTACTATCGAGAGGGAGGGATATTGCTTCAGGGCAGAACTGCTTCTCCATCTGGTTTGATAACTCACTTGCAGGAGCCAAATCTCTGAAGGAAACATTTGATTGTTACCAATCAGGGTGCTGGATGTACACATAGAGTGGGTTTGTCTCCTGCAGTTCCACCTTACTCACAGGAGAATCATACTTGCTTTGTCGAACATGGTTTTTAAGTAAAACAGTTCCTGACTGTGAGAGCCACAAAGGGAGGGAGATCCCAGCTAAACTTCACCTTGGAAATATCTATATATATTTCCTTTACCTTCTTCTGCTGTTATAGTCTTTGACAGGTTAAAAAGAGATATTGCCAATTCAGCCATCACTTTGGTATATCTTGACATTACAGACTGATGATTGCAACCATGCTATAGTTGCCACATTAAGGTAATCTGAGTGCTCTGTAGTGTTCTTCTTCAGAACATTGTCAAAATCAGTAAATGCCATTGTTTCAATGTCCACCTCACATAGGTTCAGACACACTTCCTATATGTTTGCTAATGTCTGTCCATTATCTATGCAACACTCATTTGTAGGTATGAACAAGATTGCTTTTCTGCCATCTCCAAGGTAAGTGCCTGCTCTTGAGCAGTAGCTATATCTAGTCGTTTATTTTCCAACAATCTTTGATGGATATAGTTTGATTCTAATCCATTTATAAAGGAGTCTCTGATAAATACATCCTTTGCCCGATCTGCTGTCTTGACTTAAGATTTTTAAGTGCTGGAGATACTGTTCTAACCCCTCTTCAGGGGACTGGTGGGTAGTTACTAATAAATGCTGGTTAGCATTAAGATTATGCTTCATCCCTTCCCAAAAATTCCATCCAAAATGTCCATGGCATTCTGGTAAATTTTGCAGCGAGAAATATTGGTATATATGGATATGGAAATGTGGTGCATTAGCAGGTCAAGTCTATCCGTATCAGTAATAGGAGTGTATGAACTGTTTTCCACTGCAATCAAGAATCCTTCAAATAATCATTTCCAATATTGCCAGACATCAGTAGAAGACGAGTCTGCAGAATCCAAGTTCAGACATTTTGGTTTAAGGTATTTGTCAATAATTATAAATAAATTGTAATGAAAGCTTTGAGTCTAGTTCAGCATAATGTGCCTTTATTGAATGTAACTGAAGAGTCTGTTTTGGCTAAGATGGCATGACTCATTTAGACAAATCATAAGATAGGAGAGGTAATCAGCTTGTCTTACCACACCATGGAAATTTTAAAATTTTTCTTATTTGTTTTATAAGTTAGAAGAGTATCTCTGTGTTTGGAAGTGTTAGTGATCGATTTTTTGATAATCTTAAGGGGATACTTTGTATTGAGAAGGTAACTGATTAGATGTCCTATGTGTTTTTTGTAATCCTGTGTCATAACAGATATGTTTTATGCTTAAACACTGGCTAGATTATTGATTTTTTTTAAGTTAGTTGCTAAAGTTTAGGTAGAAATGAACATCTGCAGGTTTAGTGATCTGGAGATTTGGTTGTTGTTTAGATATACCAATACATCTAAAAATGGAATGGATGAGGCTGATTATCCCATTGTGAATTTGATGGTGGTGTGAAAATTGTTAATTTGAAGTCATGGTGAGTGTCCTTTACTATCATTATATATATATATAAATATATATATATATATATATATATATATATATATATATATATATATATATATATATATATATATATAGAGAGAGAGAGAGAGAGAGATAGATAGAAGTTAGTTCAGGGAATTTTTTCTTGCTGTTAGTACCATATAAACCAGTACAACCTGTCACATGTTAGTTGCTGAAAGAAGCACACTATCAAGTAATTCCATTGCCCTATGAAAAAGAAATGTTGCAAAGAAGTATTATTTGGTATGGCCCCTGATAGGCTATGGGAAACATTAATAATATAATAGCATTAATGATTAATATTCTTCTATATGTGATCAAATTCTTCTCTGAACTGATACTTACAGATTGGTCCTGTGTCTGGACTTTTGATGATGAGATAACTGCTGTATAGTGTGGATCATCCCAATAAATACTTCTATGAAAAAAAAATAAAGTAATTAATTGAAAAGGGTCACAAAACAATAGAATGACTAAAAAAAGAAAGTGTATGTTATCAGAAAAATCACCTGTTGACAAGATGAATGATAAAAAGTCAAAGAAATGTCATAACTTCAGCTTCTGGCTAAGATTATGACTACAGACAAAGTAAAATTTACATCTATTTAATTTATAGTAATAAAATAATATTTCTAATAAAATAATACTCACAATATGAGATATTGGGATTATCATGTGCATACTTTTGTTGTTCATTTTTAATTTGTTTCTAATTTTTTGTATAAAAAGTGTTCGCTATTAGATTATAAGCTGTATTGGTTAATCTCGTGCAGTTTTAATGATTAAAGGAAAATTTCAAAACATAAAAGCAGAAATGAGTGTTTCCATCATTGGTATCAATCACTGGTATTTCTGCTTCATACTCCTCACTAATTGCCAGATATTGTTTTATAATATGGCATTTCACTATTTCAACCAAAACAGCACAATTCCTACAGGTTATATGGAGGATATTGAACAAAAATGTCATTTTAACTGATCCCATAAATGTTCTATTGAGTTGAGATCTGTTTACATGAATAGCCACTCCATGTAGTAATGATACAAGCATAATGACATATTGAATTATCATTTATGAAAATGAAACTTTGACTATAGTGATGCAATTGAGAACTGATAATGTGGTCAATAACAAACCACAATTATGTGACAGTTCCACCAACAATCACCAAGTTCCACCAACAATCACCAAGTTCATTTTCTTGTTTCTGGTTACTCCTTCCCAAATTGATGTGCAATCACTAACAACTCAATGTATTTCTAAGTCCTTTGACAACCATAATTTTGCTATAGTGATTCTAGACATATCAGTAAATGGCTATTGTCTTAATGTCCACCTCACATAGGTTCAGACACACTTCCTACATGTTTGCTAATGTATGTCCATTGGGGACATCACATACAACAATCACCTACTCTGCAGTCCTAAGCAGTGAAGCCAGTTGTATATTGTCTGACAGGATACCTTTGATTTCCTAACAGTTCTCAGACATATTTGGAGCTAGATTGCATACTGATAATACAGAGTCCAGATCTAGATGAACTAATTATCTTTATGGTCAGTAGTAACTGGTACACCAGAACATGGCATATAATAAACTACTACCATGCTTTTTGTCTGGAAACAAATAGACTAATAACACTTAATAATAAATAAAATTCACAAGCAACATCAACCTACTTCTTGTCTATGCAAGTATTAGGTGGCATTGTTATTAACTGAATTTACAATAGTTGTTGCTTTCAATTGCATAGCAATGACTGCTAAAAACATCTCTCCAAATTTATAGACACATCATGCATATGCATGCTGGTATTTCTTCACAGCCAATAAAACTGGCCACTTCTCAGTCTTATCCACAATAATTTTGTTCTTTCTTGTCTTGAAGTCAAAACACTACAGTCATTTGTCTGTATCACTTTTGTATGTGTAACAAGAGAAAATCACCTACCTTGAAAAAGAGTGTGTTTTGTGCATGGTATGCCAAAGGAAAATTAAAAGAAATTATTAGCAAGCAAAAACCTGCCACTTTAAGAATCAGAAGAACTATACTAATGTTCTTTCTTCACTGACTAGTGTGGCCAGTCAGAAAAATTGCTCTGTGTATAAAAGCCAGTACTTTGATTAACATAGAAGAATCAGTTTTGAGCTTGATGAACAAAAATGCGTTTCCTCTGTCATAAGTGGAAGGTTGGATTTTTGACCCCGCTTTCAGGATTAATTTGCCTGCTGGACTGTTTACAACTGCTTTGCCTTCTGGATTTTTTGAACACAGATTTGCAATTGAACTTATACTTGGCACACAAATTTGGTTTTACTGACCCCATTGGTTAATACTCTAAAAGTGTGTTAACACCATTCTTACTTTGTGAACTTTTGGCCTTATTACTGTTGCAGAGATGCCGATAGGTGTGTGGCCTGTGTCCCTAACACATAAAAATCTTAAAGAATGCAGTAATTTTCCCATCTGTGCATTCCAGGGATACAACTGAAGTTTCCTATCGAAAGAGATACATTACACAAAACCAACACACAACAGTTATGACATAGTAAACAGAATTTGTTGATGATTGATACTAAATAAACAATATCAGTTTAATTTAAAATGTAACTAATAAATTCTTTCTGTAACCGAATGCAAATCATTTGTCAAATGAACTAGATATTGATGGTAATTGGTACAAAGATATTTTATTTCTTTTTAAACATTTTGTATCTTTATTTTTTTTTTAAAAACTATGAGTGCAAAATGTTTTAGTTAACAAGTGGAAACATTTGTATTTAATATTCAGTTCACTGTTCAAATGACATTTAACATTGCTGAAAAAATGTCTTCAGACAAAAGAAATTTTCCTGCATAGACTGTAAGGAGGCCAAAACATTTATAATTTTAAAATAATAAACACTGCATTAATCATTTGATGTTATTCTTTCAAATACTTTTTACTAGTTATTCCTTTCTTTCTTTCACTGGGTGGTGGAATGTGTGAGTGGTATGAAATAAACATCAATGTTGCTTTACTACACACTTTTTTGGTTCACTTTTTATTTATTTATTTATTTAATTGACACACTTGAACTTAATGAAGTTTGCCGACCTTTGCTTTAAACAATCTAACATGTAGTCTAGGCAGACACTAAAACCAAAACTCTTGTAAAAATGCATGGATTCATCTAAAAGATAGTAAAAAGTGTCAGTACAAACAAATTTTGTTTAAAAAAAAACAAAAAAAAAAAAAAGCGTTACTTTTCAAAATAAGAAAATTTTGATATTTGACTATCTTCCGGGTATAAAAATGTATACTCCACCTCCTATCCTATTATCTCTTCTTCTCCAATTTTTATTGCAACTTATCAATTTTGGCCAAAGTATTTCTAGCAAGAGAGAAATTAGAGAAAGAGAGAGTCAACACCTCCAATTTATTAATTTAAAAAAAGCAAATTTTGTTCTCTCAGTCTAAAAAAAAAATTTTTTTGATTAAATTTTTGAATTAAAAAACAAAACTTTGTTCTGTCATAATTCTCAAAAAAAAGTTTTTTGATTAAATTTTTGAATTAAAAATCAAAACTTTGTTCTGTCATAATTCTCAAAAAAAAGTTTTTAATTCAACTGTGATTAAGTGTAAATACTGTATTTGTTTGAATTTATTGAGAAAAAAAAAAAAACTTTTCTTTTGTCAATATAAAAATTATGTTTTATCATAATCCTCAAAAAATATATTTTCTTAATTGAACTGTAATTAAGTGTAAATATTCTTTTTGTTTTAAATTTATTTATTCAATTGAAAAAACAAAGTTGTTCTGTTAATTTAAGTGATTCAGCATGATTAAAATTATTTTTTGGCACAATGGAAAAAAACTTAGTCTGGAGCCCTGTAGTTTAACACAATTTATTTAAAAACTTTAGTTGGGTCCCATTTAATTTTCCCACCCAAATCATCACTTGTGTGTTCCAGGGACTCATTACATTAAAATCCTATTAGCATCAAGGCTGTTGCTTTGCCTACTTTTATATATATGTATTGTCTGCTTAGTATTATTTTTATCCTGTTCTTTTCTTTCTTTTGTTATTGCCTATTGGAAACTTTATCAATTCTGTTTGTTGGGCATTTCTACCCATTAAACTTAACCATAGTGAATTACTCTAATTAGACTCAAATCAGAACTAACAGCCTTCAAGATACTCTGAACTTTTTGTCCTAAACAAATCTATACACAGTGATTACTACTTGTTTATGACTTTGAAACTATGACCATTGGATGTTACTCCACTCTTACTGTAAAAAATATAAGGAAAGAAAAAAAAGAGCTGTATTTTTTCCATGTACAAACACAAATGACGACACAAAATGAGGCCATTTATAACACACCTTAATCCCAATATTTTTAACATATTGTGAGTTGTATATTTTCGTTTAATTTATAGTATTAAGTAATATGTATAAAGAATAATTAGAAAAAATATTTAAAGAATCACTGGTGTAAGCCTTTTAATAACAGTAAGGACTTTTTTCTATAGGCCATCATTTTTTATATCATATATAATGTAGCATTTTTAATAAGTAATATTTTATTTCATTTATAATAATCTATATTATATGATTTTTGTTTGTTAGTATATTTGTTAATGTAAAACATCAAAATAGCACATTTTAGCAAAACCCTTTGGACGATGCCATTAAAATGTTCTAACTTGAAAAATAAAGCAATGTGCTAATAATAATAATGTGGGTTTTTCATGCCTGTTTGTTACAAAAGCTAAAAAGAACATATCAACATTGAAAGAAGGAAATTAAGATTACCAATTGCTGACTAAAATAGATTTTGTAAAAAGTCTTTGTTACATATCTTTATATCAAAGTAATTTTTTTTACAAATTAAATCTATCATTTCACAAGTATCAATATTTTATACAAAAACTATTAATCATTTCTCTTCCATTTGTATGTTAAAATATTATTTTATACTTGTTTCCATTTAAGGGTTAACAATTACAGATTAGTCTCCCCTTGCTTATTTCAAAAAATAAATAAATAAATAGTAATTAACTTGATACCAAACTTAAGAGTAGGCTTTAAACAAATTTTAAAATAAATACTTTAATAATTTAAAATATTCATAATAAAAGTTCTATTTAATTTATAGTAATAAAATAAGTAATATTTTAAAACACCTTTTAACTAACAATACAAGTTTTATACACACTGCCACCACAATTTAAAGCATAAAAAAATGTTTTCTTCAGTAACATTGGGCAAAGTAATAAGTTTAATTGTAGGTTTAGAAGAACATTTATTCATTAAAATATTATTTTATTACTATAAATTAAATGAAAATATTACCTATTACAATAAATTAAATACCACCTTTTCTCTAAGACATTCCTTACTTTTTATCTACTTTCACAAACAGTACCATATAAATTTTTTTATGATCATAGGCAAGATATAATTCTTGGTAGTTAGAATAAATTACATCATGTTAAGTTCCCCATTTTCCTGGCTAAAAGGTTTAACAAAGAAACCTATTTTTATTAATTGCATGCAAAACAATGTTCAGATACATTAACTGATTGCTTTTCTTTTGCATAATATTCACAGTACAGAAAAAAATAAACTTAAAAATGTTCTTTTAAGTGTTGTTAGTTAAGTTGGGTTTTAAAAAAATTTGTAAAGTTCTTGGTTAGAGAGAACCAAAGATTACTATAGAAAAACTCATATCTCATGTAACCCAGTCATTGTAAACAAATTATTTATAAGAGAATGTTTGAAAATAGGAATTTTTTTTTTCAAGGACTTAAAAATATTAGATTATTTTTAAAATAAAAGAAAAATCAAAATAAACTTACTTAAATTTGTATATCTGTGACAAAAAAATACTCTCTAGAACTGTTCCCGTCTCTGCACATAAACGAACAAGTTTATGCTTTTGTGAAATGCCCAATATGGATGACTTGTGAGCAATCCTGTTTATAGGATCTTTGTCCTAATAAAGATAAATCATATTATTATTACAAGACTATATTTTGAGAATAACTTTCTTAGGTTTTCCTGATAATCTCATTTAGGGACTGGAATTGAGAGTATCAAAATCACTTGTGAAATGAGGTAGTTTATAAATTAGTGAAGTTTAAATATTTAAAATTCCTACTGAAAACAGTGTTGAATGAATGTTTAGTATTGTCTCATTCCAAGTATATCAATAAAATAAAAATCTATATAATTTCAAATGAAGTGATTTTTTCTAAAAATTATTTAGAATTGTTTTAACCAATTTAATATTAAAGGAATATCATTTTTTTATGCAAATTTTAGAAACTGTGATAAATTTAATCTTAATACATTACTTGTTTTATATAAAGGCTTACACTAAACCTAATATTTAACCCTTTCTAGACAAACCAGTCAGATCTGGCAATCCAAATCTGTGCATTTCTTTATAAGTGGAGCTAATAATATCACTTCACCATAGAGGGGTGTATGCTATTGAATCAGCCAGAGCCGTATGGTGATTTCTATGTCACGTCAGTCACTTTCAAAGTAGTTTTACAATTTTTCATTGATAGATGATCATATTTCAATACTGTGACAACTTGGCATAGATTTATGAATGCTCAAGAAACTTTGCAAACCATTCTTACTTCTTATGATGAGTGTGGATAGGAAAGAATGAATTTATTTCCACTGTTGACTACAGCACAGACAGCAAGTGAAATGCATGTATTTACAGCGTATTTTGCATTTTTCAACAATTTTATTGCATTTGATTTCCATGGAAATGATCAAAACCAGATACTTGTGAATAAATATGGCTCTACCATACAGCCTGAGCATGATCTCCACCGTGCCTCCTCAAAGGCATGGTGGAGTAATGGATAGCAGCTTGGATTGAGGAATCGGAGCGCCAAGTTCGAATTCCAGTCGAATCCATTACATTCACTTACGTACTAATAACCTTGGGAAAGGTGTGAATTCTCTTCTTCTCCCTCCAGCTATGGGTAAATAGCAGGACAGACTGGGTTATAGCTTTGAATGGCAACTGGTCTAGGAGAAGGAAAACTTTGAATTCAAAACCAGCGGAGGGTTGTTTGGGGACTTTGTGGCACGTAGTGCACCAGGTCTCTGTAATCAGCCCTTCAAAAAGTGTGGATGATCCTGCACAAAACCTTCACCACTATAATCAAAACATGTGCTATACATGCGGGTTGGGGACCGCTTGTGAATTCCAAATTCCCATGAAATTCCAATATTGGAGCCGGCTCAACCCACCTCAGGTGAATGCCATTACAGGTACAGTAGAAGCATGATCATATCAGTATAGACATGACATAGAGAGTTTAACTTTTGTAGACAGTTTAGAAATTGAATTGAAATTTATTTAAGTTACTTTAAAAATTAAAAAAAACTTGAATTTTGGAAAGAATTTTTTTTAAATGCATATTATATAATGATCTGTAATATTTGCTATTCTTCTAATCAAATTTAGATAGAAATAAAAGACAAAAATGAAACTTATTTCACAGAATTAACATTTGAAGAGAGTGAAATTGAGAAATATATAGAAATACAATAATGTAATAGATAGTAATTATATCTTGCAATTATTGGTCTGTGATGTCTGTAACTTTTTGCTGTATTGAAGGTATCTCACTTGCACTAGTGACACTAGGTGGCAGTGCCTTTGTTATGACAATGATAAACTGCTTCAAGATATTTACAACCAACTTCATGAAAGAGAGTACAATAAGACAATAGGATTTTACAATCTTTGGTCAACATGTTTCAAGACCCAAGTGGATTATGAAATTCATTGTTAATAGAAAATCATATTGGGTAAATCCAGTGACTTTCAACTTGTGCTTCCACTTCATCAAGCATAAAGACACATCCTTCACTACCAATTTCTCTTGCTATATCAATGGTTAACTTTTCCATAAATATCTTCAAAACCTTTAAAATTGTTGATGATGTCACTCCATACTTTTGATTATTAAAATATTTTTTTAACAAAATTACTGTTCTCTAAACTTTCTGAATATGTCTACAGTATATAATCCACCATTTTTATTTTCTTTACTGTTTTCTGGATTTTATGTTGGATCTTTCTATATTGGAAAATTTTAAATTTCTTCTTATAGACATGAGAGAATATAGAATACAAAAGACTTTAAAAGTTTAACATAATCTAAAAATGTTTAATATTAAATTATGCTACTCATCGGCCTACAGAGCTAGATTAATTATTGTAACAAAAGAGAAAATGGCTTACTTCTTGGTAGAAAACAGATTTGGACATGTCTCACATGTTAAGTATCCCAAAAAGAAAATGATAGCTTTATGAGTCATATATATAAGAAATGATAAATCTTGGAATTGGATACTTTCACAAGACTCTTTTATGCACCTATGCAAACTTGTCCTGTCACTCAAGCTACAAAAGGTGCTTGAAGAAGCAACAGCAGTGTGACTTTGGTAGTGAACAGGGGACACATGTGTTGGATTGTTTGACTTAGGCTATGCTGTTTGAGAGGAAAAATGGATTAGGGAACTTTATTCCAAGCACAAAGAAACTGACTACAATTATTTATCAAGTAGCTTAGGACCTCAAAAGTGAAGAAACTAATGGTTTAATGACTAAATTATATTTGTGATAAAAGATGCTATTTATTGCCTGACTCTTGAAGATACAGATAGCTGAAGTAGAAAAACTGAGCATCTAATCTGAGCCGACATAATGGACAAAAATAAATTAAAGATAAAAGAAGTGGCACCAGTGTTAATTTAATTATTTTCAATAAAGATTGGCACAAAAAAAATATATCAAAGAAAAAAACTATAAGAAGATTATTGAAAATCATTCTATGTCTAAGATTCTTAAGTGAGAGATGAAATTTCTCTAATGATAGCTGAGAATGAAAAGCAATTAGAGAATGTCAATATGAACAGTCAATGACTATCAACTGATTAATCATGGCATTCCTACTGCACATGCACACACATGCATGGAGAAGCAAAGAAAATAAGTGTTTTGTTTTGTATTTTCATCCCCAAAGACAACTGCCACTTTTTAAAAAACTTCTTGAAAGAAGAGATGGACTCTATTTTCTTATTCAATTTAAGTGATATATTTTAGTGTGAATACATGAATATAAACTACACACATTCATTATAAAATTACCTATCTTTTTTAATGTACTTTTTCATTGTTTCTTTCAATGTAGAACACCCATAGGTACCCTTGCATTAGCATCACAGTTTCATTATTTTTGCTTTGGCCATATCATTATTTTCCACAAACTCATTTCTGAGTAACTTCAAGTGTAGGAGAGCATTCCATGACGATATATAATGAGAAAAACTAATGAAAATTGATTGCCTATTATGTGTGTCATTTACACAGGGAGGGTCAAAAGTTACATTATCATATTATTTTATTAATTTTTATTTTTTCCACTTGGTATATGCATTTCAACTTTATTTTACTATTCTGTGTATAAGAGATATCAAATTCTGTTTTGGGGAAAAAGGAAATCATTTTGAATGTTTGATTTAACTGGACTTTTAATTGACTTAATGTTTAATTCAAATGAAGTAAAACTTGATCAACACTTTTAGTTCAAATATATAACTGTTGAGAAAATAATCTTAATGTAAAGTAACTTTGATAAAAAAAAAAAAAAAAATTTTTCAAATTAAAAATGTCAGCAAGTGAGTAACATGGGTGTTTCCATTATTAAGATCACTGTTCACTCTTCTTGTCTATCCACTATTGCTATACATTCACTCTCTCTACTGATCATGATTCTATACTGATAATTACTATTTGGCATTTACTAACTGAACAAGTATTACTAGTGCAAATATTACTGGAAAGAGTTACTACCAGTACCGGCATCTACAAAGTCTTGAATATAATGAGCATTTTTGGAAGTAATAACAAGCTTTCACAAGGAATCATAAAAGTGACAAATGAAGCCGTCCAACATCACAAAAAAAATCATAATTATTTAAGACACAGATAATCATGATGCACAGTTTTATAAAGAAACTGAAAGTTTATTAGAGGATGTGTGCACCTTTAGTTCTATGTTCAAATACCAATTGTCAGGTCTTTTAACTATATACAGACATCTTGTTTGAAATTTTTTGCATTAATCGTAAATGGATTATTCAGTTGCTAGTGATTTTATGAAGTGTATCCAAAAATGCTTAGTATGCAGAATTCATTTTGCTTAATTACACAAAATGCTTTCTCAAGAGCATCTGCAGACATTACAGTGCCTGCCAAATGTTCACTGACAATTGAAAAATTAATGCTGGCAAAAACATTGTTCTGAAGCAATCTTTCTTATAAAACTGTGCAACATAATTATCAGTATCTTAAATAGCTTGAATTTAGTAGATTTTTGAAACTGTCACTTTTCTTTTTATTTAATAATTATATAAAAATACATGATACATTTATCACATTCATAATACATTTACAAATCTATATATATCACTAACAAAAAAATTTAATTAGGACCTATTAGAAGTATTTTCATTTTTATAAGCCTTTATATCAAAGCTTATTTCAGGTACATATCTAAAGATTATAACTCATATATATTTTAAAATAAAGAACAGTAAGATTTATAATCCAGTGTTCTTATTAATTATTTTTATTTTTAAAAAAACAGTGCTCAATACAATTCTGCACAGCATAAATATTATAAATTTACCAGCTTAAAAATATGGTTCTATTTCTACACAGGAATTACCATGTTTTAAAAACAGAAACTAAAAACTTCAAATTTAATTATAGAATTAAATTAAAATCACTAGTACTGTTTCATTTTCAAGCAATTTTTGGAATAATTTATTATTTTGAAATTTACTGAGTTTTATAAGCACATACATTCTTAATATTAGTTGCTAAGGATACGGGGAAATTCAATCATTTTGACAAGGTGTGGTAGGGCATTCATTTTCACTGACAACTATTGTATCAAAATATGAGTTACTTTCAAAATGATGTTAAGTTAAGGTAGGGTAGGGGGGTGCCTGTTCAACAAATGATGAATATATATAAGTACTATTCAGCTGTAGATTTTTTTTTTCAAATATTATAATGATATATACAAGTATTGATATTTGGGAAATTTTGAGGCATTCTTTTAAACTAGGCCTCAAAGCCACTCACAGGATTTTAGAAAATGGAATATTATTTGGCTTTCAGTTAGCCTGTTCCCTATATACAGTCAAACTGTTTAATGTGCAGTTACTGGACCAAGGAAAATGTTTTAATATAAAAAGTATTTACTTTTCATAGGAAAAGGAAGCTCATAAATAGGGTGTCTCTCAAATAATAAGCAGCAAGAAGCCATGTTGCTACCAGACATAAATAATACAGAATTTAATTTTCTAAATTTCAAAAGAAAAAAAATTAACATATTTTTCTTACAAAATAATTGTTCATATCTGAACATTAAAATTAGATTTATAAGTAATTCTTCAAACAGGAGATGTAAAATAATCACACAATATTATTACTTAGTTAAGACTAAAACCCCAGATAAAAGATATTGTTTCAAAATGAATAATTTTCCTAAGTGTCATTCACTTAAAGTAAAAAATATTTCTCTACAAAACTGAAATTTTCCACAATAAACCATTAAAAATAAAGAAACAAATAAAAATTGTAACCATAAACAAAGAAACTTACCCAGTGACCATAGCTGAAGAGGGCATCTGTCACTTTTTCTTTGTGAACATCTTTCCAAAGTTGAATACCCCACCTTAAAAATATTTTAATAATCAAATCAATATAGATCTTACATTGTGAAAAAAATTATAATACAAAAGAAAAAAAAATCTTTAATAGAAAAAAATTAGTATATTTTCAAAAGTATTTGTATTATACATATTCAACTTAAAAAAATAGAAAAAAAACAGCCCTCAGCCTGAAGGACAGATGCAGTGTGACCTCAGAAAAAACTGAATACTCAGATTAGGTGGTTCTCATTTATGTTGGCCTTCACATCCACAATGGTAGCCTTTAAAGAGTCCTCGGTATTGTGGAGTTGCTGTTTTGTTTCCTTAATAATGTTCTGAATGTAGTAGTTAAGAGGACTCAAATCAGAAAAGCAAGGTCACATATTTGGGTAACAGGATTGTGAAAATTATCAGCCAGTCACTCCTGGGTCACATGGACCTTTTAAGAAAAAACAGTCCTACTGTATGGCCACCTCTTCAATTACAGGGTTTGACTACTGTGTCCAGCTCTTCAATGTAAGTAGTGGCATTGATCCTCAGACCTCGTGAGGAAAAAAATAATACATGTCATGTATCTCATTACTCATGACTCTTAGGATCCTCACAGAAAACATGAATTGGTGCAGATCACGTTCTATACTGGCCACTTCAAAGAAGATCACTATCCTTTATGATTATCAGCTAGTACTATAAGAAGAGAATGCCTTTTAATTTCTTGCATTACATTGAAAGTTTCCATGTTAATGCACTCAATATCTGTCTATATTTCTGAGATGAGGTATTGTAATTATTTACATTTTTCAGACTCTTGTATGCTCCAGTCTTCTTCCAAACTGAACTCTTCATCTCTCGTTCCATGTGCCATGCCCCTTCCAGATGTCGCAGTTATCTCCCTTTAACTCAAGTTTTTGCTCAACACTGCAATAGCCAGGTATTGAACTCTTTGGGTTAAGTCACTGAATCCAACCAATGCTTTTATCCATAATGTCCTTGAGTACATCAGTGTATGAATTTTGATAACTTATAAACTTAATGTCTCAGTAATCATTTTTTACCAGAGCACATATTGCAATTTTGGAGTCTGAGATGAGGTATTATGTACATTATTTACATAATTACATTATTAGTCGCCATATTTATCACAACATTTCGGCCGTTGTACGCTCCAGCCTTCTTCAGGTGGTTAGAATTTCGAACTGAACCCTTTATTTCACTCACTGGAGTAGATTGTTCTAGTTCCACGTGCCATGTTTGATGGATGTCAGTTATCAGTTATCTCCTGCTAATTTCCCTCTGGAAGTTCTCCACTGCCTTAACTGGGTATTGAACTCACACTCTTTGGGTCCTGTCACTGGATCTAACCAATGCCTTTATCCACTGTGCCATGTGTCCTTGAGGACACATGGCACAGTTGATAACTGACATCCATCAAACATGACACGTGGAACTAGAACTAGAACAGTCTACCCCATGATGCGGTGATCTTTTTACCTACATATATGGTCAGCTACACCTGATTTTTCTATTTCTCTTTGTGTTACAGCTTTATGATGTTCTTGCAGTCTCATCTTAAGGAGGCAGCCTGTTTCCCCTTTATATTTCTTACCACAGCTACATGGGATGGCATACACACAGTCCTTATTGATATTGGTTAGATCCAGTGACTTGACCCAAAGTTCTAAGTTCAATATTTAATTGTTCAATGGTGAACAAAATCTTGCAGAGTTAAAGGTAGATAACTGAGACATCCAAAAGAGGCATGGCATGGTGGATGAATAAAGGTTCAGTTTGAAATTCCAATCACCTGAAAAAGGCCAAAGCATTGTGAATATGGCAACAAAGATAATGTAAATAATTAATGCACTCAATACGTCTGAAAGAGAAATATCAATGTTAAAATTCAGCACATGCCACATCCCATTACTTATGTTTGAGGAAGCAAGTATGAACAGTGATCGGAGCAGAACTGGTTCAATCAATTGTCTGTTTGCTTTATAATGTAAAATAATTTAGCTTATTCTTTAATGTTTCCTTGTATAATACAAAATTTTAATAACAAGTATGTTGTTTTACAGGGTGAAGATATAAAGACACCCACCCAACCCTCTTTTACATGCTTTAAATTCAGAATTGTCCTGTTGACTGTTTGCCACCCAAGGTTACAAAGTTCTGTCTGCACTATTATATTATCTATAGCTTTCCCAATTAAATGATACTGTTTTCTTAAAGCTTTTGTCTCAGACTACAAACCTTATTACAGTGACATGCCAAAAAGAGAGAGAGAGAGAGAGAGACAACTACATTAGATGATCTCTGTCTCCCCAACTTGTAAAAATGTACTCAACCAGATGATTTGTGATATAACAGGTAAAGAGATAGTGTAGCAGAAGCAGCAAGTTTTATGGACAAGATTAATTTGACCATGCAATGATTGTTCAACTCAGAAAAATATGATACTATCTCTAAGACAACAATTTCTCAGGCAACAGTTGCAAGGTTATACTAAGAATACATAAAATGTGGGCAAACATCAGCAATACATGAAACTGCAAGAGTTCATATTTGATACAATAATGGGACTGCTGGCAATCAATTGATTTGAAAAAGAAAGAAAAATAAAAAAATGTTGTCAACACCCATCCTGATTTCCAATAATTTCTAAGTCAACTGCACTTTCTTTTTTAGCAGAATAAAAAAGGGAAAAAAACAAAAAGGAATGGCAAGCAATAAAAAAGGAAAGAAAGACACACATATATATTATATATCTGTCTGTCTATTTCTTTATCATTTTCTATTAATGAAATAGTACAAAATGCCACTTGCATTCTTCTATTTCTTTGCTTCCTCCTCCTTGCCCGCTTCACTTCTCTTCTTCATCCAGGTGACATCTATTCAATAATCAACCAGAGTTTCTTTTCTCGGGTACTTCTATTCTTTCAACCAGGCTTCCATAATGCAACCCATCTCTCCCCATCACCTAATAAATTCTCCACTTCCACTGTTTTCTCATATTTTATCCTTCCATGCTGAGCCATTGGTAGGAAAGAAGGCAAGTTTACATAACTCATTTTTTCTTCTCCTTTCCTCTTCCTTCAACAATAATAATAATCAACCAACAAAAGGGAACATAAAGTAACAGCAAAAGTTTCTTTGTAGTTTCTATTCTCTTTAAAACTTTGTCATTTGTCACATGCTCTGTCTATGGTATTCTCCACATTCATCATCGTAACCACATCTCAGTCACTTTTCTTTGTGTCAAAATTGCTCTGCATTTATTGCCATACTGGAGGTTAGATATTACATAAACGTCCAGTATCCTTTTCTTCACTTCTAATATTTTCTAACCTCCAAGAGCCTTATGCACTTTCTGAAAAGCATCTTTCAATTCCTATTTGCTTTCAAATTGCTTTTTCACATTTTACATTATTACTACATTATCCAAACAGTTGAATTTCTGAAACTGCTAGATTTTTAAGTCCCCAATGTGTATGCTACAACTCGTATTGTCCCTTTTGCTCACAACTAAACACACATAGAAGTACTATATTTGTAAAAAAAAATAAATAAAAAATGCTTACCCATTATATGAACTTGAATAATTCTTCATGTATATAAGGTTCCTAAAATAGAAATAATCATAACAGCAATAACTATATATTTAAATGTCACGTGCATTAGAAGTGTTATAACTCAATGAAAAATATAAAAAGAAAAAATAAGCACATACTAAAGATTTCTGCCATTTACTAGCATTGTGTTAAGGGTGCTATTATTTAGAACCCCTACAATATCCACCAAATGTATCTTATTCAAGAAATAATTCATAATATTGTGATACTATAGAAACCCACATGGAAAAGGAAAAGGTTTTATGTTGACCTCAAGTGTTTTTGTATAATAGTCAGCACATGGTTCTTTCTGATGCCTGGTTTTCTAAGCAGCATCCACTTTGACTAAAGGGGGAAATGTTATACTCCATTACAATTAGATCTCTTTCTGATTCATTCTGCATGCTGGCTGGATGTAAACTCCATGAAGGCAAGGGATAAAATAAAAAAAGTTGTTCTCTGAGCATAAAAAAACTATTAACTGATGTTTCTGCCACATTTAAGGATTGTGGGGGATTTTATTACTAACATTATTTTGTTTAGTTTCATGTAAGTAGATTGTATTCATCTTGTAAATACTCATTGGAGCTACTTTTTAAATTGTTTTTTACCCCCCCAACACACACAGACAATGAATTGTACATATGGGGGACTAGTTAGGATTTTCATAGAGACAATGAGGTATTATGGTGGATGTAGTAAGAAAGGTAAGTAAGAATGCATTGTTTTGGTGTTAGGAATATTGTTTGTATGTTTGGGTCAGTGTTTGTGGCTAGCTAAGTTTAAAAGACAGATGAAGCCCATCCTTTTCCCCATTCCCCATTTTGGCCTTGTGCCATATTTTGTACCATTGTACAAATAAATATCAGGAAGTTTCCAGCAGTCAGCTCTGACAGTCGAACTGAACATTCTTGCTGTAACACTCATTTGTATATGTTTGTATTACTGCTTCTGTTAATATATTTGTTTAACTGAATTCCTCTCTTTGTGTTTTTATTTCTGGTCCTAACAAGGCCACAACACTTAATAAAGGCTTTATTTACCTAACAAATACAGAAAGTAAAAAGAAATAAATTAAAGTGGAACAGTCCATACAAGATGGAATAAGGGCTTTAAATAGTTCAGAACATGAGTTCAAGTTTCACCAAGAACATATCTTATTTTCAATTCATTCTGTCTACTGTCATATATTGACAACCTGATAAAAAGATATGATAAAAAGCAACTAAAAAGAATTAAGATAAAAGTATATACATGCCAGAATTAATAAAGATTGATAGTGCTACATCTAATAAAAAAGAAAACAAAATTATTACCATTCCTAAAGATATAAAAAAATTTAAGTAAATATTTTTTTTCTAAGTTTACATAAGTTCAGTTATTTATAAGCAAGAATTTTCATGGTGTGTATTTATTTACTTCATAAGAAATCAGAAACTTTCATACTTACAGACATTGGTATATTGGCTGCTTTGATTTTAGACTAAAAACATGTTTGTAGTTTCGCTGACTCTGAAAAATAAAATAAATAACAATGAGTGATCCAGGATTTTAAGTAGGGTGGGGGTCCAAGCAGGATAGTATTGTTGTTGATCAATGTATTGGCAGTAATTTCTTTATGAATAGACATTCCCCCAACCTTATTCACATTTGAGTCACAGCTTTTTAACATGAAAATTGTCAAGAGATTTAAATAAAAAAAAAATTAATCCAAGATATTTACTACAAAATGAATAAATAAAGTGATAAAGAATAAGACAGAAGATATTTTACTTATGCGAGATAAAAAGAAAATACTAAATTTTTGCTTTTGAGGTTATGATTACTTGTGATTTGTTTTTGTTTTTTTTACTCATAACATTTATTTATTATATATCTTTCTAACTGAACCATCATTCACAACTAGATTGTTATACTCACATTCCAACTGCTGTACCCTCCAACCTTCTTGGGATTTTGAAGCAAATCCTTTATTTTAATTCACAGGAGTAGATTGCTTACCATGCTTAAGGGAGATAATTCATATCAGTTAATTCTCTCTAATGTATTTGCATTTGTGTCACTTGTCCATTTATTCCACTGAACCAGAGTATATGACTTTTCCACTCTACCGAATCCAGAGATTGAACCCAGGAGTGCCAGGAAACCAAGTTATTTTAATTAATGCTTTAATCCAGTAGGCTATGTGAACAATCCAATAGTGTACTTTTAGAGTCTTAAACTGAATGTTTGTACCCAGATGAAATTTGAAACTCTTTTTTTAACACTAGAATAATACTCCTGACTTTGACAAGACAGGATCTACCAGACATCTATTTTTTTTTTTTGCAGGAAGAGTGGGGAGATACATTGGTTAAGAAATTAGTTTCTATGCATTGTCTTCTAGCTTCTTCTATATGCTGTGTCCCGTCAGGACGTGAACAATTATAGCTTTTCACAACTTCTTGTCCTTTGTTGCTTAGTAAATGTTGCCTATTTGCCATGTAATGAGCATGCGCGGAACCGTTCTCGAACTGCGTGTGTGTGTTGTCGCCAGGCACAGCTTGGAGCACCATAATGGACTCAACCGAGGACTACAAGAAGACACGCGAGTCGTTTGGTGTCTTTTTTTTGACTGACAAAAGCCGTTGTGGTCAGTCGTCCGTCGGCAGCAGTCTTGGGTGCTGTTTGCTGTCGTAAAGTGTTTGTTCAGAAGAGAAGGCGGTCGTTTCAGGTTCACAAGAAGGCGGTCATTTTTGTTTCACAAGAAGAAGAAATGCTCTGGTTCTACAGAGCAGGCCGCAGTGGCTGCACAGTTGAAGGAAACAGATGTGCACACGAGGTGCTATAAATGTGATGGAACCAATCATAGGGCGAGCGATTGTCTCCTGGGTCGTGAACCATCCAAAGGTGCTGTCCGGGAAATGAGCAGGAGGGGGGGGGGGAGAATTCAGCGCCAATCTCCTTCCCAAAACTCTTCTAAATGGTGCATTGCCTGTAGTGACAGTTCGTATCAATGGAATACCATGTACAGCTCTGGTGGATAAAGAATGCACAAAGTCACCAGTCCGCAAGTCATGCTGTTGAGCATGGACAAGAAAATCAACACGTGTGCTTACAGTGGACGGAGGCGCACTTGACTGCTGTGGAATCAGAGTGGTACAAGTTAGAGTTGGTGCAAAGTTGTCCATTGCTATGGAAGCCCTAGTTGTGGACAGAGACCTGCTTGGATTTGACTTGCTGCTCAGACTAGACGCCATCAAACAGTTGGGAGGAATATCTGTAACTGGCACTGGTGAGGTGAAGTTTCCGCAGTGTGTCGAACCAGTTGTTGCTGCCATCACCATTACTGAGCCAGACTTTAAAGTAGAATACGATGAGACCACTCAGAGGTGGACCACATCTTGGAAATGAGCTAGCAACCAACCTCCGGGTACGTTAAGAAATAGACTGGCAGAATATCCAGCTCCCACACAAATTCGGGAGGAGTATGATGAGGAACTCCAGATGTGGGTAGATAACGGCTGGCTGCTTCCTTACCGGAGGAGGAGCTCGGACCCCCAAAGGGTTTAATCCCCCTCATGGCCATTCTGCAGGAAAACAAACAGAAGTTTCGGCCCGTTATGGACTATCGAGAACTCAATGAGTATGTTGACACACACACAGCCAACACAGATGTTTGTTCTCAAAAATTTTTCAGTCAGACAGGGTCCAATTTTATGAAAAAAGAAAAAATTTTCATAAAATTAGGTAAATGGGGTGTAAAATATTTTCACCAATATTTTCTTTAAAAAATTATTGTGAATAAATCCTGAAAATTTCATTAAAATCCAACAATGATTTTTGCAAGGCTTTCCAAATCAATGTGTCTTTCACCAAAAAAAGTTGCTAAAGTTTGTTATGCTAATTTGGTCCATCTGCTGAAACAAGAAAAACAAGTTAAGAGGTTCATAATGGAAGTGGGAAATAAATTAAAAATGTAATCATTTTTGCATAAACCCTGCTCAACAAATAAATTTTGTTTTGTAAAAAAAAAAAAAAAATAATAATAAAAAAAAAAACAGTAAAAACTAAAATGTATTATTATTTTAATTTTTTTAAAATTTAAATACAATTGGAGTTTGGATAATTACAAAGTGGTTCCCCTTATATTTGCAAGTAATTATAAAAAATGACTTGATACTGAATTTTTGGGAAACCTTTATCCAAGTATTTTTCATTACCATCACGTAATAAAGCTTTCTTTTTAAATAAATAAAAAAATTAAAATTAAAATAACCCTAACCCCAAACCCCAGTAAAATAAAACCTTAAAATAAAAGAACCCTAACCTAAACAAATTAAAATAAAAAAAACCCTAACCCTAAATTTAACCCCTAACCCTTGGTAAAGAGCATGATTATGTACAAAATAAAATTACAGGATAAAAAAAATGCTAGTAACGAAATAAGGTTTTATTGTATTTTTTTTTTATTTTTTTTTTTTATTTTTTTTTTTTATTTTGTCTGCTTTATGATAATGCACAGTAATTTAGACGAGTAAAAGCAGTAAATAGGCCAAAAAGTTATGATTGTCGACAGAAGTGATCTAATTACACAAAGCCAGTAATGGCGGACAAATGAGCGTGTGTGAGTCCAAATTTTTCTTGTAGATAACTCCAAAATGGTAGGTTTTATCATAATTTAATTCTTATTTCAAGTTCAGCATTACATTTATACGGAACTATGACAATTTCAGAAAATTTCAATAAATATTTAGCATGGTGATTAAAAAGTAAATTTACCAGAAAAAGTATGAATCCATCTCTTCTCCTTCCAGCTATAGATTGAATAAGAGAGCACACTGGGTTCTATAGCCTTGGTTGGCAACCAGTTTACCATAGAAAGAAATGGCAACCTATTGCAGGAAAATCTATTTTTCTGCTTAGTCAGTCATGAATCGAAAGAGACCACGTTTACAACAGAGGGAGTTTCACTGCTTTGCTAAAAAAGAACATACCCTGATGAAAAAAGGCCTCAAGCTTGATAAACGATTTTTTTATCATCTAAAAATGTTTGTTTAGAGGAAAGACCAAATTATTTTTTGATAATTTTTTTCTTTTTCACATTTTTTATCCTTCCTAGCACATCCAAGATTTTAGTTAAAACTCTTTTTTTTTGAGTCAACAAAATTGACATAACTTTGTAAACAAAAGTGAAATTCTCCATTTAAAAATCTTGTAAAATTCAATTATACTTTTTTCAAAAGTTATTTGAGAAAAATTAGAAAATTTAAAGTTTACTTAATGTAACCGAATACAAACATTAATTTTTTGGCAGAAACTTTTTGTTGAAAATAAGAGAAGTATGTCTTGTAGTGATTGATTTTGGAGGTGTAAATTGGCGGAAGGACAAAAGTGACAGTATTTTTGAATTTTAAGTAAACCATCTTATCTAACTAGAAAGTCATTTTTAAAAATTAAATACTTACAAAAGTCTAATATTGATTTTTTTTTTTTTTTTTTTTTTAGGTACTTTTACTTAACAAAGATATGTCCAAAGTCTGCACTGTTTCTGTCCCTAAAATTGAATCTAAAGAAATTGCAGTACGTCTTCCACTGAAAAACAATAAATTATATTTTAAAAAAATGAAATTAAAATATTTAGTGAAATAGGATGTAAAAAAGAAAATTAAAAATTTTGAAAATGCAACAATGATAGAGAATTTGATATGTGAAGTAAAGCAAAGCAATTTCTTAAGGCCTTTTTCTTAAAACACCTATTATTTACGAACCGTGCATCCATAGTTTTAGAGAAAATGTTTTAATAGTTAATACATTTTTTGCATATTAAAAAATATTTGAAAAATATTATCATATCAGATATTTATAATTTAAGCTTACAAATTTATCACCTGTCTTTTTTATAACAGCATTTCCAAAAGGACACAGATTCAAACTTAATTTTAAAATATTTGACAATTTTATCACATTTTGTATAAATTGAAAAAAAATCTTGTAAAAATTCATTTTTCATCGGAAAAATATTTTGGCTTCAGACAATAGTGCCCTCATTGTTCATAAAAGCCATTAAACCATTTTTTTTTAAATTAATGTCTTAATTTTATTGGGTTTTGTATTTTTTAACAATTCAGAGATGGATTTTTTGGGGTAAGTTAAAAGTAAAACGGGGTTAAAATTTACAAAATTAAAAAACCGATGATTTAAAATTTATATTATTCTTCAAAGTCTTCTGCTTTTCTAATCACAAAATTAACTCGAAAATTCGACTTTTCATAAAATTAAGTAAACATGCCATGCTGTTTTATTTTCGTTTTTTTGTGGGTTTTTTTTTTCTGCGAATTATCGACAATAAAAGATGAAATTTAATTTAAACTACCTTCAAATAATCCATAAATGTGAATTTGTCTTTACTCGAGAAAAAAATAAATAAGATTGCATTCTGGGCGCTAGTTTTTTTTTTTCGCTTATTTCTAATTCATGACTTAAAGTCTCAGAATACGAGTCTCGAGAGAAATATAGAAATTTATCAACTTAAAGTGTCTGTTATACCGAAATATTATTTTTAATTTAACAATAGCTGAATTATTACTACGGTGGAATTTATTAAGTAAATGTGGAAGGAAAAAAATTACCATCAATGACAATTTTTTTGTGAGATTGTTGACCACAAAATTATCATCTCATAGAAATTAAAATCTCTTCCCACCAAACTTCCACAAGGATTATTTTTTAATTAATTCAAATTGTTTGATATATTCATTGTATTTTAGACGCAAATTTTCGTTTGGTGTTAAATGGAGGTAATTAAACTCAGTATTTTGCATGCAAAAATTGTTTTCTGATTTAAAATGAAAATTTTTTTTTTTTTTTTAAAGTTTCTTTGTTTTTTGTTGTTTTTTTTTTAACTGTGCTTCTTTGTCCAAGCAGGCAAAAGTCTTGATCCTGCGGCTGAAAAATGAAAACGTCAAAAAATGAATTTATACAGATTAGTCATCAGTTTATCGATTAACAACAAAGTTGTTTTTTGTTACTTTTTATATTTAATTTTTTTCTTTCCGAATCTCACCCAAATTATCGGAAACTCTTTGCGGACATTATTTTGGTTGGGGGAAAATTCCATCAAAACCGTATGTAATTTTTTTACCTTTTCAAACGAGAATGCGTTTTATTTTATTTTATTTTGAAAATATCAACTCTATAGTATCACAAGAAGAGGGAAAAAAATAAAAAATAAAAAGAATAAAGTCAGTATAGTTTTAAAAGATTCAAGCTCTATGTTTGTTGTAATAAAATTTTTTATAATTAATACAAATTACAAAGGAAGCCGTCTCTAAAATGGATAAAAATGACGAATGATACTTCTCAAAATTAGCCGCTTTTAAATGAGTCATTATCTTTTTAAAAAATGAATTTAAAAAATAATAAACTTAAAAAGTCAATAAATTCGTATTTTTTTTTTTTTGTGATGTAAAATCGTTTGTAAATATTTGTTTTTTTGTGATGTAAAATTGTAATTGTAAATTGTTCTAGGTTTTAAAATAAATATACTTTTTGGTTTTGCTCATCAGTCAGTTAGAAAATTCTAAGTGATTACAATAAGTGAACGTTGTTAGGGAAACATTTGTAGAAATAGAAAATTATTTTTTTCATTCGCTTCCCCCCCCCGCCAAGTAGTAAGCTCCACTTTTATTATTTACGGTTTTGTTTTTTTTTCCCAAACAAAAGAAAAAAAATGTTTATAACTCACCTTGCAGCACAAACTGCGCATTATCCGGCTTAAGAGACAATAATTTATCGAATATTCCCTCTGCCTTGCAAGAAAATAAACATTGTAAATATTTTCGGGAAATTGAAGCATAACTGCAGAATAGATTCATGTCGAATCCAAACAAAGAGGAGACAACTGGCGCCCTATTATTTTTATTTTTTATTTTTTTTTTTTTTTTGCAACCCAGCCCCCACACACGCCACCACCACTTTCAAGTTCGCGGATAAATTTTTTGAGTAAGAAAAATGCCAAAATTTTCTTTCGAATAGTTTTTATTTTCCCAAGTACTTTCAATCTCATCTGAGACCATTTTCAGAAGGTTAAAATTTTACGTGTTTCTGTGAATTGAAAACATTTCAAAAACTGTTCTTTTTTGTTGTTTTGTTTTTCTTTACTGCGTTTATGCACGTTCTAGATTTCGAAGTTTTTTGGGGTTTTTTTATTTTATTTTTTTTCCAATATAAGGGAAGTAACTTTTTTCTTTTTTTTTTTTTTTTTGATTTTGCTCATATGTATATAATTTCTTTTCTTTTCTTTTTTCTATTGACAAAATAGCCAAAGAATTTAATCTGCTTTGTCTCATGGACAACCGCAAGTATGTTTTTATAAATCTTCAGTTTTGGAAGATCCCAAACACATGGCATGATGGCACTGCGGGAAACTGCCCAAGTTATCAGTACCTTGAGCCGGCCCTGCCTGTGATTGTGACCTTGCGACAGCATCGCCTCCATTTTAAAAGGTTTTTTGTTTTTGTTTTTTTTTTGGGGGGTGAGCAGGAAAAAAGAATGTTACTCTTTATCTCGAATATTGAATAAGGCGCACGGCCGGTCAGACTTGGCGTCGACGGAGGTTGTCAATGAAGGGCAGGGCGGAGGCGTGTGCTACACATACGTTTTCCCGATTGTCCTTTATCTATTGTTCGTACTTCCTCTCTGTAAAGATCATAAGAAGCCGCTCGAACACTCGCTATCCTCCGTTTTATGGAGGGGACGCAAGCATCAGATCGACAGAAGTCTGTGCACAACGTCCGTGTCATGGGGGGCTGGGAATGCCAGACTTGATGAGCCACAAACTCCCCCCGCAGTTGACTTTACTACGCCGCTCTTTGACAGCAGATTCGATTATGGCCGGGATTGTTCGAGACGTGTTCCCTTTCCTTACTATCAGTTCCCCATCTTGCGGGTTGAGCGCTGTCGTAAACCCTGTGATCAATCGGATTTCCTTCGCGAGTGTCGGTACACTTTGACGATCATTCCTCGGTCCAGTGACCTTTCACAGCCTAGGAAGGTCTTCTATCGTTATTTAGTGGAGGGGGTCACGAAGGATCCTCTACGTGAGCGGCTTGACTTGCCGGAGGAGGAGTTTCACTCTTTCTTGTCTTGCGCGCCAACGGCGGATTATCTCAGTAACCCTGAGTTTTCGCTTACCTGGGGATTGGCTCGGAATCGGCTGCCTCTCATTGACAAGGTCTTTATATGGGGCTTGGCGGATTTGCCAGACTGTGAACGCTGTGATCTTGGTTTAGAAGATACGGCTCGCACGCCTTCTACCATTGTCCCCAGGTCCGCCCCTTATGGGACCATGTCGGCGAGTTGACGGTTCGTCTCGCTCCTGAAAAGCTCGTGCTCATTGATCGCGCATACGCGTGTGACAATGTATCGCCCTCGTTTCTGGGGTGAAACGAATGGTGTTTCTGACGCTGGTGTTTCTACGGCCCGAATGGTGATTTGGACGACGCGACAGGAGGAAGTCTTGCGAGGCAATCGTCTTTCTTATCAGGATCTAATCCGATTCTTTAAGCATCAGCTCAAGATGAAGATTAGAACTGATAGAAAACGCTTGCATTCGTCAGTCTTCAGCGAAAGGTGGGTGACTGGCGAGCTTGGTTCGTTTGAACAGGGCTAGCTTGATTTTCTCTTCAAGGTCAACCTACGTCACAGGGTGGTTTCATGTGGAGCCATCCCCTTGGTTAGGTTAGACAAGCTTTTGTGTACCTAGTTAATGGGAATAAGTGTTGTTCCTGGCCTGTTCCCGGTTGAATCTTTGGTTATGATCCAAGTCGAGATTCCCAACCTCCCCAGCTTGTTTTGGCCCCCTTTTCACCTCGACTGGGTCAGCTTTTATATTTCCCATGCCCGTATATATTTTCTCCTTTCCCACTCCCTTAGTGAAAGAGCTTCTTGATTTTGTCCAATGGACAGAATACAGTGGCCTCTCTTTTTTGAGGGTTGGACGGGCCCTACTAACATCAGTTATGTTTAGTTTACTTTGTGTTGATGTTTAGTTTGTTATTGGGTTAATCTCCTTCCCCTCTCATATTTAGTCATCCATAAATTTTTAAGTATAAATTTTATAATCATTAGATTTTTATGGCATGGGGCTCGTTTTGTAGGTTCCCCTTGAGAGGATGTGGTATTGTGGTGTATATGGAGGATTGATTGGTGACGGACGAGTTTTTATGGTGAACGTGAAAAATTGTAATGAGTGAATGGGTCGTGAATCAGATTAGCTAGGTATAAGATAGATAGTGTTGACCAGCCTCAATTTTTAGATACAATAAATAACTATTGAATAAGGCGCATACGAAAACAAACGAAACTCGAAATTCCGATACAAAATTTCAAGTAACAAACATTTAATACATTGATTGACATAAAAAACAATGAAAAAAATACAAGTTTTACACAAAAAAAATCTTTGATACAAATTTCCTCTTGTTCGCCTTAAAGGCAAGATAACCAGTTCAAAATATAAAATTATTCGCTCATACATGATTCAACAAACTTTCAATTTCAATGTACAATACATATTCTTTATTAAAAAGGTTCAAAATACACCAACCTTTAAACAGAACTGAAAGATCTTTAGTGAAGGTGTAACTGTAATGTAATACAGTTCCTTTACAAAACAAAGGTTAAAAATACAGATTCTTAAAAATACAGATTCTTAAAAAAAAACAAAAAAAAAACTGCATTTACTTAATTGAAAGACAAAACAGAAGACTTTGGCAAGGTTCACTAATATCAATAGGATTTTTAACAATTTATCTTTAACACTGAATCACTTCTTCACTGATTTCACTTTGGTTCATGGAGTTCTATATTAGACAGCTAAAAGTCATAATGTTGTGAAGGGACAGAGCTAAAGATCGATGATAACGGCAGCGTATTTTAATTTCACTTTGAGCTCTAGCTAGCTATTCCGCTAGTGTTGGCTTAAGTAATTAATTCAAATAAATTTTTCACTACATGAATATCATTTATATTTAATTGAAATAAGTATTTATTTTGAGTTGCTAATTGTTTTTTATGAGTAATTTGTGTTTTACTTCTTTAACATTCATTTTAAAGTAAACTATTTTAGTTTCCAGTTTAAAAAATAAAACCGTGAACTAAATTAATCTTGCTTGCTGTTAGTGTTCCAGTCATTTTCCAGGGTCTTTTAAGTGCTTCAGAAGTATGGTAAAAAAAAAAGTTAGCTTTAGTCACTCACTCAACATTTTTCTGTTAAAAAAGTTTATACAATGTTAAAAAAATGCAAACAATTAGCTTCAAAAACGAATTCTCTATATAAATTAAGGCACTATTTTTGTCTGAAAAAGTTAAAAAAAGTATGATTCTTTTTTACCACGTTTTCTTTTTGTTATTGACCGAACTGTAATCATTTACTTATTAAAATTAATGAAAAAACATAAAAGTTAATGTCTAGTTTAAATGTCTTTTCTTTTCGAAGACGTTTTTCTATGTTTGTTTTTAAATTTTACTTCGAAATTTATTAAAAATCAATTACCATTAATTATTTAAAGTTACTTTAATATTTTTCTCTAATATTGTTATTCATAAAGAACAAATGCATTCATAGAATTATTTTTTTTATTAGTTGTGTTTTTAGGTAAAATAAACAACAAATATTAATGTCAATAAATGTTTAGTTTAATTTTTAAAATTTTCCATTAAAACGGAAACGAGAATCAAATGTCATATTCTTATTACAAAATCAATGAAAAATCTATTTAAGAATGTTTTTACATAAATTTAATGTGACATAATAAAATTTAAATTATTTAATTCGATATTCTAAAAATGCATTGAAGCAAATATTAACCATGCTGCTGCTTTCTGTTCAGTCATTTTTCCAGGTTCTTCTATAGATTATTTATTTATTTATTTACTCAAGTTGAGCAAAAAACTAATTTTTGACACAAGAAGGCAGAGATTAAAGTGCACTATCTCAAAAATAACCAAAGCTTTCTCATCTCAATCACTGAACAAAAACCTCAGTCCCCACTTTAAATTGAGGGGTGGTGTTGCTGGATGAGAGCCAGACAATAGCTGATCTTATGTTGACAAGTACCAGAAATTTAGATATTTAACTCAATAATTAAAAGATTATGTAACATTTTGCAAACCTTTGTTAATAATATACCCCAAAACCATTATACCAACAAAAAAATAATCAATTTAAAAAGTGGATTCCCAGGTTTCTGTTTTTCACTTGGTATGGAGGGAATCAAAGTTGGGATTAAGAGTATAATTTGGCTTGAAAAGTTACCCCTAAATTGAAGCAGTAAAAGAAATAATTGTGCTTAATCATTTCAGATATTACCTAGTTTGGAGCAATGCCCCAGAAATGTTGTGCATTGCTTGCAAAACAAATTACATAAGCCAGTACAACAAAACTGGATGCAAGATGAACAAAATATTAGTTTATCATTTTCCAAAAGACAAAGGGTGAGAGAGAGCAATGTAGAAAATCAGTTTGAAATACCAATCTGAATGTTACAAACAATACAGTTATTTGTCAACTGCATTGGCATTCAAATTTTGATACCATAAGAAGTTCATGGAAAACTGTGCCCCAAAAATCTACCATCTGTATGGCCAGGTGTGCCAAAGAGTCAAATACCAATACTCTCTGCTATTCAAAGGAATATAAAAAAAAACTCCAGTACTGCTCAAAATCAAATTGATGAAATTAATGTTTTTGACAATTAGATAAGATTAATTATACAAATTATAAAGGAAGTCTAATCAACAACAAAAAAGCCTTTGTGTATCCAGTTGTAGCATTTTGGGCTGAAAATATTTTAA